TTCTTTTAAACAACCAGGTCTCGTCCAAAGTTGGCGCCAAGGATGCAGAGCGAGGACCTGCAGTGGGTTTGCGGCCAGCAGAAGATCTGGAGAATGTAACTGGGCGAAACGCAACCTGGATGGATAGAATGGATTATATATTGGATATACAATGGGGATTATATATATATATACATACATTCGTATACATATATATATACACATACATTCATATATACGGGATATAGACGATATAGAAACACAACCATCTCAAAGAGTAAATACTTGATTGAATGGATATATATATATATATATACTTGGTTTTTAAATTAGGATATATATATATATATACTATTTTAAAAAAAAATGTGATATGGAAACACAAACATCTTAAAGAGTAATGTACTTGCTGGGTATAATGGAGATATTGCAATGGAGATAGGATGGGGATAATCTGGATAATGTTTACAGTATTTTGTCATTATCAAGATATCTGATATGCGTAACATATACTAGTAAGATTTAGGAAGTGTGTCTGAACATGGTGCAATTGCCGACATGTTGCGGCAGTTTTGTTAACATGATGATTCACTGTGGATTTTGGGACACCCGGGGCACATCCCAATGAGTGTATGGCGTCACAAATTAAGGCCTGGGAACCTTAGATTGGTCATTTCGTGTCATTTCTACATAAGTCCATCAGCTTGATATTAAACACCCCCCGAAATGGTCCCAAGTATGTGATGTAATCCCCCATTTAACCATGCTTTCTGGGGAGTATTTAAGATTGGGGGAATGGGATTAGTATTAACCAATATTAACAATTAATCATCCAATTTCCCATACTTATATTAATATACATTAATATACATCATTAATGTAGCCTACATATGTTATTATCCCATAAGATCATCTACCACAACCACTTACCAACTGTGTCGCACGCCCAAGCAGTCACAGTTAAACTGGTGTTTGTCACGCAAGGGGTCACAACTTTGACAAATAATGTTGCGTACTTCAGCTGAATTGCGTGTTTTTTTTGATGAAGGCCAATGTTTTCCTCTGAAATACCCCCAACTCTTCAAACATGTTTTCTCTGTTTTGTCTCCATGGTAGCACATCAGCCACAGAGATGTCTTAAGTCACCTTCGGTCCTTCGCATGACATGGCACGGCTTGGACCAGCAAAATCACAGGTCTTATTACTTCGATCCTTTCACATTCCTGGCAAGAACCATGATGCGCTGCTGGCTCTTTTGGAGCTATGGAATCCTATGGAATCCGATCTGGATCTGTCTGGAAATGGGCTTTTAAAAACCATGGGAGACCTCAAAAGGTGGCCATTAACGGGGAAGTGATGATCAACCATGGGTAAAATAGGGATATATACCCGATTTTCAGACAGATAGCCATAATGGTGACCCATATGTCTATTTCTTTTTGGAGCACCCTCAAACGAACCAACGGATTCGGCCATTGGTTTGACCTTGGGCGAAGTTGTCTTATATATGCTGCTGCCATGGAAACACGGATGAAATTCTCAAACTCTTGGCAGCTTGCCCGGCTTCGATGGCCAGGTTCCAGCCGAAACCTTTAAGAAGGGATACATGAGCGTTCAGCCAGCACGCTGGATCAAGCGAGATTCTCAGATCAAGGCATCCCCTGGTTGATGGAAATCTACTTGTACCCTCCAGTACACTCATAGTTTGCAGGAAAATCACCGTATTTTTGTGTGGTAAATTTTCAGGTAAGTCAACTGTAAATCATCCATGGAATCCATGGCTATGTGAGTTTACCGGAGGGGATCCCCCACAATCAACTTATGTATAGCATATTCAACCGTAATCATGATTCAACCAATAAACATGTGTATATAAACTGTGTATATACGTATATATAATTATATATATACCCCTTATGCATATACCTCATACATATGATATATATATATACATATATATATATATTTATATTTACATATATATATATAATACACCTGCACAATGACAATGACATTTTATTGTTTCAAGACTCCCAATTTTGCCCGTGATCATCCCGGGCTCGTGGACCGTGGAAGTTTGTCGCCTCGAGATACGGCTTTGAGGCCTGCGGAGGAAGCAGAAATGGTGGCCTCATCGAGTGCAGGTTGGGATTTGAAGTTGTGGTTGGAACCCACAAGAAGGCATGGAAAAACGGGGCTACTAATGGGAATTGGGTTTCATGGGTTTCATGGGAATGTCATTGGATTTTATGGGAATATCATGGGAATATTAGCTTAGCTCCAAACGATTGTGGGTAAAAGATACCAGTTGTTTTCTTTTTTAGGTAAGTTTACTTCTTTAGCGGCGATATGCTTCGATTATTTCCCATGTATCTAAAAACTTGGGAGGAATCCTGACTAAGAAGTCATGGAGAAAATTGTGTTAGTAACGGGACTTATATACTGTAATTAATAGGTTTCAATTATGTTTTTTGGGATTCATGGATTCATGGTTAACCACAGGTGATACCCCCGACAACAGATGGTTGATTGTTGGAGAAAACCCTTAAACAACCCAAGTAATACGAGGTATATGCCCCAAGATACGAATCCCTATCAGGTTTGTTGCATCTGTTGTACGCTACATTACGATGTACAATGCTATGGTGAAGAAAATAGTTGCAGTCATTTGCTACTGTGCACCTTAATATTTTGCGTAGAGTAGAGTCTTGTATACTTACACTATGTTAAACTATTTGTTACACCGGGTATGAGTAGTCATCATTGGGTACCCCAATACTTAGATATTATCAGATAAAGTAATACTTAATGCTAAACATAGGCTCAAATCATCTCAAATCTGTTTTTTTTTGGTGTCTTCAACTTTCAAACATTCCCAGGCACCAAAAAGAAGCGAAAGAGGGTCCGAGGATCGTAGGCCAGGATGGGAGTGGTGTCATCAATGGAGGTTTATAGCTGGGAAAACCATGAATAACTGGTGTTCCAGCCAGCCATGTTTGATGATTTCATATGATTTCAGAATGGTAGATGATCGTCAGTTTATTGATCTCAATAGCAATATATCTTTGTTGGCAGTTTGAAGTATGTTTTTCATCATACATGGATGTTTTATCTTTCGTCCTTTTGTGATCACACCGTTTCTAATTGTATTGTTATGTATTGTTTGTCTTGTACAGTAACATTTTATAGCATCTTATAGTCTTATTCTGTAGTAAGATTCTAGTTTATATAAATGTATATAATTACATGGTCTCAACCAACCCAGTTGATCCAGATCCATGACGGATTGGATGGGTATTTTAGACATGGTCCAAAATGGCACCTCATATTGCCCTTGTTACAATTTTATGATGGGAAAATAGACTTTAAAATTATACTAGATTTTTTGGGCACAAGCCCATCAAACCCGACGCCGCATTCGCATTTCTGAGAAGTGGCTCAAGCTCACCGTAGCTTACCAGAATCTCCACATGTTCCACGGAGCACGCACGTTTCCATTCATGAAGATGTTTCAACTGCAGCAGCAGCGGCCAAGTCACACGCGCTTTCCGACCCCAGTGTTTTGAGGCGGTCAACATGTCCAACATGTCAGAGCTGATCCGTCGCAAATTTCATCCAAGAAGTTCCCCATCCCAGGCCCCATCTAGGGACGACCCAACTCTGCTCGATGTTGAGCTTCTTTCGCGCCAATGGCTTGGATGTCTTGGATAAAGATGAGAGTGGCCGACAAGCCAAAGTAGAGGTGACATGATTGACATGCTGCGACGATTGGGGGGTGCTAAAGCCAGTAAAACCAAACATGTTTGATTGGTTGTTGCATGGGCATATACTGAGCTTGCGTTTATTCAAAGGTATGGATTGTTGGCCAATATTATCCTTGATATTTTTGCAGACCAATATCATTATTTGTTGCCATTGTGAGTATTGACGCTTGAAATATACCTACTTGTAGTATGATATAGTATGAGTCCAATCGAAATCATTATACATTGCTACATGTTTTGTTTGACAAGAACATGAATACCATATATATATAATTATATAACTAATTATAACTATATTTACAATATTAATTATAATATTAATACTTATATTAATATAATATTGATATAATATATACATATATATGGAACAGCTACAACGACCTCAGTGCGACGTCACTGAAATGATGGCTAGTAAGGCCAACGATCCCAATGGTCTTATCCAGATTGGTGAAATCTTATAATTCATCCATATATATATATATAATTCTGTGTATATATATGTATATATATATATACATATACATACATATCCCTATGGATCATCCAAGATCCAAGTAGCTTAATTTGAAACTGGGGGTATGATTTTGGGGGTTAGCCGTAGGTTCGGAGGTGTTTGGATCCATAGGGTACAGAAACTAAGGGCGATCACTTGAGAGCCCTTCGAGAATTGGGCCTTTGTGAGTCTTGGACAGTGAGATTAGTCCTAGGGTCCTAGGGACATCAGATGAATTGAGAACACCCCAAGTTATTCAAGTTTATCCAAGTTCATTCAAGTGCATGTGTTTTCAAATGGGAAAAAACAGAGTATATATGGGGAATACTCCACAATGATGCCGCATCGATGCCTAGATGTTTGGTTCTTGCTGTCCGGGTCACCGCCAAGTCAGCAAGCAAAAACAATTTGATTATATAAAATTATATATATATAAACATTTCACAGGGGGTAGCGGCGCCTTTGTAGCAGGACTGCACAGTTCTTCCATGTCCCATGCAGTGCTGATTTTACGCACGTCTCGTGCTCCTGTCAAACTTGAGTGTTGAACGAGTGTTCTTGAAAGTTTCATGCTACTTCAGGTGAGAGGCATGCAAAAGAGTTGTTGTCATGTTTTGGTGATGAATGTATGATAAAGTGCCGCTTTGCAAGCAGTTCACACTCCCAAGCAACACGACCAAAGTGCAATCGTATCATGAGCGTTTCTGGACGGATTTTGTGGGTCCGTTAGTACACCTTGTGGACTGGTCGCCATAGCGATACATTCCTGAGGAAGTTCTTCCTAATTCGCTCTACTTGGGAGGTGCACAAGATGCACGTGACCTGAAAAAGGCATGGTCTGTTCAGCCGATGGGCCTGGAAACCACCATTGGCTTCAAGCTTTCACCCGGAAAATGGTAAAATCGAAACACATCCCTTTGTCATCCCTGTGTTTCAGATGGGGAACACATTTCAATGGTCTTTCTGTCACGGTTTTGATTTCTAATCATCGATGGCAACAAATTTATATATTTTATCCAGTCCACCAGGCTCTATCGATGGGTTTGTCCAAAATGCGGTACCTCCATGATATCAACGATATCACTTAACAATTCCCCCTCATCGTGTCAGGTGTTTGTTATCCGCCTGTGAGGCCAACCCCAAAGGCATTACCCATGTCCTCAATGTCTCGGACATGTACGTCCTTCCGCCGGGCAGCAGCACGAACTTGGTGAGTGAGTGGGTCTCTTGGATCATAGAATTGGATGATGGGAAAACTTACAGGAAACATCAGGAAACCACTATATTTGATGGTAAACACCATGGTTTCCTGTAGATTTTCCCTTAACCCAATCCATCGATTGGAGGAATGGTGGCTTTTTTTTGGCTCAGAAATGGGCTGTGAACATGGGTGATTTCATGGGAATCCCTTGTGGGGAAAGCAACCATACAAACGGGTGAACAATGGGTTGATGTCATGGATATTTAAGGGGGTTCACCGGTTCACCGTTCACCTGTTTAACCAGCTAAAGTCAGGTTTAAATTTGTTATGTTTATATAATTATCAACCATGCGGATACAGTATTTTGTCCTTCATTTATTGATCATTGGATATCATTGGTTGCTTTTCTTGGGAATCTTGGGGGGATAGCCATCAAAAATTGGGACATTAACCAGCCAACCAACCAACCAACCACTATCATTGGATTGATTGGTTAAGGAAAATCTCAACCGGAAACTGGACTTTTACACCCAAAGAGAACGGTATTTTATACCGGTAAACCCAATGGATTGTCCCATAGAATCCATTTCTGGGAGAGAAGGACAATTGATGGCCATAGATGAGCAATGGCTGCTAACCCCCATTGGTTGATGATTATTAACTCGCAAAAACATGATCCACTCATCATTTAAAGGGGTTTCAAGCCTCAATGATTGAACAAATGCTGGTTGGCTGATGATTGATTTGACGGTTGATGCTGTCCTGTAAGTATTCGGAATTATATGGAATTATCATCTGCCAGGAACTGGGAACGAGCGACCTTGAGTTGCCAACGAGAAAGCAGTCGATTCTTCCTCATATCCTATGGATCTAGGATAATATTGCTTACCATCATGATACCAAATCAAGGCCGGGGTATGTCGGGCTTAACAGTTGATGGATGTTGATAGCCTTTGGAGAAATTCCACAACTTGCAGCTTAAAAGGTGGCCGATTGAAGCTGGCTTAAAAGTGTGTCAACGGCTTGACCAAACAGTGATGGATGCCCTTTTACAGCAGAGGTCACAAGGACAGAAGAGCACCGAAACTGTAAGTCTAATTCAGTCTAAGTGTCACTAAAGTCACTCAGGGACCTGCAATACTTGATGTATTTTATTATATGTTATTGATGTTTATTGTATTTTGATGTATTTTGACCTTCTCAAAGCATGGATGAAGATGGGATCTGGGATGAGGTTCCGATCAATGATGATGGGCGAGACACTTGGCCGCAGTGGACAGTCCAAATTGAAGGCCCCGAGTGGCAGAATCTGTTGCAGATTTCGGTCCCAAAGAAGTGCTGTGTTCCACATGGATCGACATACTTCCTCAGAAGTTACTTATAACAGACTTAACACACCAAATCGGACCCCAGAGACATCCTGAGAAGATACTTGGATCCAAAAAAAGGATGTTGTTTTTGGATGTTTTTTGCCTGCCCAATGCCTCCCTCGGAATCCCCTGCCCGTCGTTGCAGCTTTTATTCGTGTGTTTCAACAGCGATGCTTCGCCGCGACTGAGGACAACTTGTTTGGACCCTGGCAGACGGAGGAACAGTTCGAGGTGGGCTTCCATGGGGTGCCATCAGTGGCCTCTGGTGATGCTCCGTGGTGTGGTAAGGAGTACTGACGAATACCCTCTGGTAATTTAACATAACTATGGAAAATCAGAAAATCACCAGATTTAATGGAAAAATCCACTATAAATGGTCATTTTCAAGCTATGTTAATTTACCAGAGGGTATTTTTCAGAGGGGTAGGTCAACCACCAACCAGAAGCGTGTGACAAGTGTGGTAATTGTATGACAATATTTTGTATGATGTAAGCGTGGTGCACCTTGAGCAAAGGAGGAAACAACCAGCAATCCTGCAACTTGATATGCGGTTGGCAGACGTGAACACGTGAACAGCGGGCGTTGTTTCTTTGTTTCGGGCCCAAGAAAAGGACGGGATGGGACGGGCCAGAATCTCCATTATCATGAACAGTGGTGCACTTCATTATCTTGAAGAAATGCTGAACCATGTACACATCTAAGTCAAATGTATAGTATCAGAAACTATCAGACATAATATGCCGAAAGATACTGCAAGATACTCACTCATTTATCATGTACTCGATACTATGATATGATCAATGAAGTTCAATGAGCAAGTTAAATAATTACCTGCAATATTCAAATTCAAAGCATCAACAACTTGTGGTTAGATAAGCTGAAGCGACGGCAACGTTCATGGATCCAGCCGCCCAAAAAACGCCTTCGTAGCGCAGGCTGATCGCGCGGCGAACCCGGACTGCCGACCATCAGGTGCATATTGGAGATGCAAAGAGTTCTTGAAGGTGCCAGCATGGCCGCCAGCTGGTTTCCAACTAGGAGCATATTACAGTATAGATGAGGTACGGTCAAAACTCTGGTATACTACTTATATATACTGTTATATACTTATATAATCTTATATAATATAAGGAAAGTTCTCTGGTGTCTGGAAAATGCACAAAACACTGTGTAGCGATAGGGCCCCCCCAAAGCGATACCTATAACTGTGCATAATGTCCACATCTGAAGCTGTTTTGCACAAAGTTACGTACATGTAAGAGGCTAAATTAGCAATACATCCCATTTGTTCAAAAAGTAGCCCCAGACCAGACCACAAATAGATCATTTCCTTTTTCCTTTCCTCTTTTTCCCTTCCTCTGCCTTTACTCCTTTCCTTTTCTCTCCCTTTCCTCTTCCCTTCCTTTCCTTTTCTTTTCCTTTTCCATTCCTTTTCCTTTCCTCTTCATTTCCTTTCCTCTTCTTCTCCTCTTCCTGTCCTTTTCTTTTCCTCTTCCCAATCCTTTTCCTTTCCTCTTCCTTTCCCGTTTTCTTTTCCTTTTCCCTTTCCTTTTCCTTTCCCTTTCCTCTTCGGTTCCTCTTCCTTGCCTCTTTTTGCAAAACCATGGATAGCGATAGGGCCCCCCCAAAAGCGATACCCGATTTTCGGGAACCCAGCGAGGACAAATAATTAGTTTTGACAACGACTCATATATATATATATAACAAGACATGTATACTTGCTCTGGATGAGTTTTCAAAATGACACTATCAGATGTGACTTTCAAAGGCACTGTATAACATATATATACATATATACCAGTAGTACCGCACAAGGCGGTGGCGGAAGTTTCAAATTAAAATAGGAAACCTATAGGAGAGGTTGGTTGTTGTGAACCACGGATGACAGAGCGAATCCACTGATGGACCGACAGGTGGTTGAAGTTGTGTTTTTTGGAGTGGTTGCAATGGTTGCAGTGGTCACCTCACCCACAGCTGCTGGATGTAGTGTGGTGTAGTGCAGTTGCAGTTGTAGTTGTAGTGTGGTGTAGTGGAGTTGTAGTTGTAGTGTGCAATAAGAGTAGTGTAGTTGCAGCTGCAGTTGTAGTTGTAGTTGTGGTGTGGTGTAATTAGTGTAGTGTATTGTAGCGTGCTGTAGCGTTGTGTACTGTAGTGTGGTCTAGTGTAGTGTAGTCTAGTGTAGTGTAGTGTAAGGTAGTGTAGTAGTAGTTGTATTGTGGTGTAGTGTAATTAGTGTAGTGTCGTGTAGCGCAACTTAGTGGTAGTTACAATTGTAGTTGCAGTTCCAGTTGTAGCGTAATGTACAATTGTAGTTGCAGTGGCAGTTGTAGCATAATGTAATGTAATTAGCGTAGTGTAGCGTAGTGTTGTGTAATGTAGCGTAGTTGTAGTTGCATGTGTATTTGTAGTTGTAGCGTGCTGCAGTGTAATTAGTGCAGTGTAGTGTATTGTGTGGCGTAGTTGATATTGCTGTTGTAGCTGTGGTCGTAGTAGCTGTTGTAGTTGTAGTGTGATTAGTGTAGTGTAGTGTAGTGTAATTAGATGTAATTAAAAGTGTAGCGTAATGTAGTGTAGTGTAATTAGTGTAGTGCAATGTAGCGTAATTTATTTGTATTTGTAGTGTAGTTGTCTATCTATCTATCAGTCTATCTGCAATCCGCAAGCTTGAAAACGAAGCAATTCTGCGAGACTTCTCCAACTTTTGAACTTGATAACGCCAAAAAGGAAGAAATTCTGCGAGACTTCCTCCATCGTTGAAGTTGGCAACATCAAAAACGAAGCGATTCTACGAGACTTCCTCAATTTTTGAAATTGGCAACATCAAAAATGAAGCAATTCTGCGAGACATCCTCAATTTGCGAAGGTGGCAACATCAGAAACGAAGCAATTCTGCGAGACTTCCTTAAAAATTGGAAAGTTGAGTGCAGAGCTGACGGCCTCGTACCAATGCGTTTTGCGATTTTTCCACTCCATCTGTGCAAAGTGCTGCGCTCGCCACGCAAAAGTGATGCCAGGTCATGCAAAATCATCTTAGCAAACCTGAAGATCTGATGCTCCAAAATGCAACCTTTCTCAGGAAATCAGCGCCCTGACCTACTAACATCTCTGATGAAGATGTCTCTTGTACTGCGCCTGCCACGCGAAAAGCATCTTTCCAGATCCTCTTCAAATGCCCCACGCCTGCCATCGTTTTTGGAAATGCTACAAAACCTTCACATTTTGCTGATTTTTGTCAAGGTGCAGCCTGCCACGCGAGACGACATCTGAACCTTCAAAAGCGTTTCAAGCATGTGGTGCTTTATACATTTTGACTTCGGAACGTGCTTCGCGCCACAACGGCGTGCACTTTTCCAACATCTCAACTTCCAAGCGCGTTCCGAGGCTGACGTGCTTGTACATTTTGACTTCGAAGTGTGCTTCGCGCCACAACGGCGTGCACTTTTTGAACATCTCAACTTCCAGGAGTGCTCCGAACCCGTCAGTCTTTAACACTTTTGACTTCCAAAACGTGCTTCTCGCCACAACGGCGTGCACTTTTTCGACATCTCAACTTCCAAAAGTGGTCCGGACCTGGTGTGCTTTGTACATGTTGACTTGCAAATGTGCTTCGCGCCGCAACGGCGTGCAATTTTTCATCTCTCATCTGGCCAGCTGGCTCCGCACCCGCCGCTTTAGCGAGCCTACTTTTCGACCTCCGGAGCCACAAACTATAGAAAAAACGCAGTGAATCGCGACTTTTCTACCTTTTCGCGCACCTGCATCTTCTTTCTTCTGCCTCTTTCTCTTCTCTGATCTTCTCTGATCTTCTCTGATCTTCTCTGATCTTCTCTGGTCTTCTCTCTTCTTCTCTGATCTTCTTTCTTCTTCTGATCTTCTTTCTTCTTCTGATCTTTCTTCTTTCTTCTTCTCTTCTCTTCTCTTCTCGTCTCGTCTCGTCTCGTCTCTTCTCTTCTCTTCTCGTCTCGTCTCGTCTCGTCTCGTCTCGTCTCTTCTCTTCTCTTCTCTTCTCTTCTCTTCTCTTCTCTTCCTCTCCTCTCCTCTCCTCTCCTCTTCTCTTCTCTTCTCTTCTCTTCCCTTTTCTTCTCTTCTCTTCGACTCTTCCCACCTCTGCTTTTTCATCTGTCCATATTGACGGAAGTTAGACTTCTTAACTTCCTTCGATAACATTAATTAAATACATGACTAATATGTTATGATGAAATATGGTATGATATGCATTCTCATCAATCTGGAAGGGTGGCAAGTTCCCAATTGCGGCTCAAGATTCTTTACCTCCTGAAGAGAAACTGCAAGCATTTGCATGGTCAGGCCCCTGTGGTCTCGAAGCTGTTAGGTCCACTTTCCCCAATTTGTTCGTTATTTGTTTTGCAAAAAACCGAGACTGTTTTCCCAGGGTTTGCATAGAGAGCTGGACACCAGCTGCGCCAGCTGTATCTCCGTAAATTCAATGCTTACCTGGGTGGTTTGGAGGATCTTTGAAATACGGCCTCGCTGTCAGGCGGCTTTTGAAGATCCCAACTCCAAGGTCTTGGTTCACTGCGTGCTGGGTGTGAATCGCTCAGCAACCATAATCGTGGCGTGGCTACTGGAGACAAGGTGCGGGATGGGCAGTTGGAAGGCAAAAGACTCCTGGTGAAATGTGTGCGAAACTTTTGTGAAAATGTGTGAAAATATGTGATTTGATGTATGAAATTGATGGTAGTTTGTAGCAAATTGGATGTTCCATTTATGTTTTTTGGCCATCTTTGGCCATCGACCATCTCTCTGCCGATGATCAGAATTCAGGGCCTAGGAAGCGCCATATCGGGATGAACATTGACATCCATAAATTCCAACTATGTTGGTAATTATTCACCGGGCTACCTTGGTTTTGAATCATACCCATCTATACATGACATGATATACTTTCCATTTGCAAGATTGGTTTGAGCAACAGTCAACCTCGATATTATATATGGATATACTGGTATATACTTGTAATATCTTGTAATATTCGAAGCAAATGCAGTGACTACTCCAGAATGAAACGTCTTCATACTTGACCAGGGGAAACCTGGTATCGGATATCAGAGAACAATTGTCGACTAATGATTGGCTTATATTTGGCGACCATCGTATTAGAAGTGGATGCCCAGCAAAATACTTGATTTCAAAGGATTATGATAAGTGATTATAGATAATTACGTAAAAATAATTACATGTATCTGTCTAGGTGCTGCATTACTTCAAAAGGGACCCTTCTTTTTCAGCACTCTGCAGCTTTGAAAATCTTTGCCTCCGAGTCCACTAAACTCACTAAACCACCGAAGAGTTCTGCATCCAGGCGATGGACAGTCGACTACTCGCTGCAATACGTGGCGTTCTAAGCTGCGTCGTTTTAACCAATGATTTGGCTTGGTGGTTGGGCCGGTGGTTTCGATGAGATACCCGGAATGAGAATCCCAGAATGGGAATCCGGGGCTTCCAAGAAACCCAAAGCCCGACATAGAGTTAGCCATTGCTTGATCATTCATGCAGGAAAACAAAGGATGAAACATCATGGCAGCTGTTTTTGCAGCAAGTTTGGGTTGCCAAGTTGCTGCGTCGATATACTGTAATTGGGTTTGTCCCAGACTTGGGGTCTCAAACTTTTGATAGTGATAATATTTCCTAATGCATACACTGTATGAATTATGTCATTCCCCACCTGCCATCTGAGGGTCTCTAGATGTCAAAGTTACTTCTTCCTCCTCTCGTCTCCTCCTCTCCTCTTTTCTCCGAGCTCCAGATCTCAGTAGGCACTGCCGGACCCCAACTGCAAGCGCCAAGTCTCAGTGGCACTGCCGGACCTCAACCGCGAGCTCAAGATTGCAGTCGGCAATGCCGGACCTCAACTGCGAGCGCCAGGTCTCAGTGGGCACTGCCGCACGCCAGAGAGAATTTCAGATAGAATGGCAGAAAGAATGTCAGAGAGAATCAGAAAGAATGTCAGAATAGATGCCAGAAAGAATTCCAGAGTGCCTGAAAAGATGCCAAATAGAGTGTCAGAATAGATGTCAGATAGAATGCCAGAAAGAATGTCAGAATACATGCCAAAAGTATGTCAGAACAGACGCAAGATAGAATGTCAGATAGACTGTCAAAGTATGTGCCAGACAATGCCAGAAAGAATGTCAGACACTATGTCAAAATAGTGTTTCAGGGTGGGGATCACTCTAAGAAAGTAATTTATTATAGTAATATATAACGTGTATTTATAGTATATATATATATATTTATAAATCGAATATGTATATATATGTATAAGTGGCTGTGGTATCCGCTTAGATCTCCCGCAAGATCTTCAGTTGAGAGTTGAGTTGAGAGGCTCCAGAATCATGTCGGATCACAGATCAGGTGCACCAGTGCCGGCCCGTGATTTCTCCTGCGGAACCGCACAAGGCCGGGTAGTGTGGTGTTGCTGTTGCTACCATTCAGTGCCATGGGCTGTCAAAAGATATGAGGATAAGAGTGGGGAAATCACGGATCAAAGGGCAAAACACCAAACGGAGGTCTGGTGTAACAGCTGTATATTGTATATATATACATCATTATGTATATATATATATATTATACACATTTATATATATATATATATATATTATACACTATATATATATTTATTTATTTATTTATTTACCATCGTTACAATTTTGAATCGGATTTTGTGCATAGCAAACTGGATGTTCTGATTAAATATGAAGTTCCTTTGACTTTCAAATAGTTTGCCCGATGTGCCCTGAAAAATTGCCCAAAAACGATTGCATCCATCTACGTCATTCTACATCCCCACAAAAATGTTGTTTAACACAATCGGTTTGTCAGCTTGTATTCCCAGAGGTATTCCCACTATAATGCCACTATATTCCCATGATATCCCTGGATATTCCCCTGCCAGGAGCAGTTGTTGAGTTTCGCTGCATCCTTGGGCATTGAGGAGAAGCACCACAGTTGTGTGATCACGTGAGATTTCGGCGACCAGTTGTTTTTAACAACTGATTGTTGTTTCGGTTGCTGAAACATGGATGCAACAGATGCAACACATGCAATAAAGAGTCAATTTTCAGCTGATGAGAGCACATGAGAGAACAACAAAATGGCACGATAAGCACACTAAAAACATGTTGATTTTACTTGCAATTGATGGTTGTATGATAGGCTATACTGGTTGAATGGAAATTATTATGGGTGATTATGGAATAACCCACACATTGGGAATTCCACCTTCAACCAACCAGGTTTAGCAAGGTGAACTGGGCATTGCTCCGGTGACATTGTTCCATGGTTCAAGGTCCAAAAACAAGTCAGGGCCCGGCTGTCCCAAGATTTGGTTGAAGAGTTAATTCTATGATATGATGGTACGCCCCAAAAATATAAAGCATCAACATGTAATGTCAAAGACTATGAACATATTTGAATTTCACTTGTCGATTTACGCAACCCTGTAGATGACGGCAGAAATATTTCCCAACAAAAAGAATGCCCGCATTTAAGATGTGAAAACTGGGGGATGAGGCGAAAACGACCCCTCCCCACATTCGGTGACCAAAACAGCTGTGCAAGAGTCGCAGCGGAGAAAGCGCAGAAATTTCTGCTGTTCCTTTAAATGCACCACTGGTTTTGTCCACTTGCAAGTGTACAGGGTTTGTGCGAAGTGGCTGTGCTCGACATGAATCTTCTGAAGTCATCAGGGATGATATTTGATTACGTTGTTTGAGCAGCACGCTAGGTTTATTGAAAGTTGCGGCTCCTTAGCTGAAGCGGCAACCTGGTAGATATCCGCACCGCTAACACTGCGCTGCGTGTGACATCACGGCAGCACCAACAGTTATTGAATCACTTAAATAACACTTAAAAGCAGAAATAAAGACATTGCAAAACTAGAGTTGATCTCTAAACCGATTTACAACAACAGATGTCTTGGTCTGGTAACTTCGACAACTTGGCATATTGTTAGGTTGTGGCACAGTTTTAGTTACTGGATAAACTGGATACTGGGTAAACCTTGCCTTTTTTCTTTTTTGCCAAGAATCGGGGAATACAAAAGCAAACTAAATCATTATATAATGGGCATCCAAGATTAGCCGCGCTTCGGAGCTCGTCTGAAGACAGTTGGTGATGCCGATCTTTTAAAGTTTAGGTGAGCACTGGCCAAAACCTTTGAGGGTTGATTGATGTTGTTGCATTTGGATCATGCTTTAGGTTATCCACCCCCGATACTTTAGGTTATCCTCCCACCTACACAGACCACACACTCCACACACTAAGAGTCGATTGTCAAGATTTAGTGGGTTTTGTCTAATGCGATCCTTCTGGTGTTTGTCGGACTTGACAACATGCGAGAATCCAAGTTTTATTTCACCATTTTCAGCAAAGGATATGACTAAGATTGGCAAGATCGAGTCATGTTCTTTGAAAAGGCACCAACAATTACGATTGTTTTAGCCGCTGCTCAAGCGTGTTCATGGCGATGTAAAGCAGTGCACAGAAGAGCGGTTGCAATGAACATCGCTTGTTGCACAGTTACGGTGCTTGGTTGAGTTTTGACTTGCAGAAAATGAAATGCTGCTGTGACTAATGGGACAATCTCTGAAGTCAGGAAAATGTTTTGATACTTGATTATATAATGATGTTGTGTTTGCATTGTTTATTTTATTTTAGATGTAATACAATACTATGTATGCATATATATATATATTATACACCATATATGACATATGAGTTGTGAAACAGTTTATCAATGCTTACATAAACACAATATTATTAGGCCATTACAACTTGGTTGTACGAAATTAAACTACTTGGCAGTGACCAGGGTATGAGCCTCTGCCAGAAAATACAGTGGTGACCCGATGTTCTACGCAAAGTTTCAACAGTGTGATGCTTAGCTTCATATAAAAGCACATCCGGAATTATAAACCTGCAGAGACCCTCCAAATACATCCTAATACCCTGTGAAAAAAAAGTAAAAACACACATTTCTAGGGTAAGACACCATGTTCATGATGTTTGTGGGTAATTACAGACGGAGGGTCTAGGTGTTTTTTTTGGTGGTATGTGGCTTCCAATGTTTTGAACCATGTTTTCTTCACGAGTCCCTCCCCATCGAACGAAAATTTGGTACGAGCCGATGCAAACTCTGCAGGTGCCAGCTGCGCGCTGCCAAGTCAATGCGAAAATGGAGAGTGTCCAGGGACTATCCGGGACTATCCAGGGATATCATGGGAATAGTGTGGAAATACCTCTGGGAATATAAGTTAACTAACCAAGATATGATATGTGGGTCTGTCTGAAAATGGTGTATTCCCCTGGGTTGAACCATTTTTTCAGAGGGAAACATGATAAAAAAAGCCACTGGATTTGGGGAAAAACCCTATGACAACACCCAATATTGCCCAAATATTGAAGGGACATGCTCTATTGGTACAAAAATTGAACGCTTTCGGACTTGAAACACTACCCAACTCAATAACATATGAGACTATATAGAGCAAGATCAGGAAGATGGGGTCTGGATGTGTTCTTTCCTGTTGGCTTTGGCTTATCCCCTTGCCGCCCTTGCCCTGATATTTTTCATGCCAGCTGTGGGACCCCCAAGATGGGTCCAATTCTCAAGCTTAGGGGCTATTGAATGCAAGAGTGGAGGGATTACGGCAGCTATATGTAGCTATTTACTACTTAACGATTCTTAACAGTCCAAAAAAGGGGTGCTTACAGCAGAATCTGAGACGGATCTCTGAGATGTACTTTACAAAATTTAATGACAAATCTTCGAGTATGACTGTGTCGGCTACTCCTTGGAGTTGTGGATACTTGCGACATTCCAGCCATCAATGATCTCCCATACGTTTTATTCTTTGCCAGCTTTGATGATGAAAAACATTTTAGGAGTGAATGAGCATCCAAGCAACTATGAAGTTATGAACCGGGAAATGAATGGCACCCTCTGACACATGAGGTAGAGATTCTTACGTACCCTCTGGTCATTTGACAAAGCTATGCAAAATCACCATGGTTGATGGGTAAATCATCATATCATTTATTTCTGTGGGCATTCATCTATACCATAGATTACCATAGCTATTGGTTCAATAACCAGATGGTATCACCCATTTACCGGAATCATGTTCTTGCTCCTGTGCCAATATGTTCCAATGCTCCACACCACTACCTGCCGCAGCTTTGCACGTTCAATTTGCCTGGGCCTATGGAGGCTCCAAGGCCCGCGTCTTTGGGCAAACGGGTCTGCCTCTCAGAGCGCGCGATGTCTGTTAAATGACCATTTCCCATGTGCTCCATATATGGTATATTTACCTATACATTTGGATGTTTTTTGGGCAAATGTCGGTACATATTCCATACATGGAGCGTATGGGTTTGAGATTGATTGAACATTTATGAATCCCAAATTCCATTGATGGTCATCAATTATTTTTACCAATGGCCATGAATTGGGGTATCACGTCATTTATCGAAGTCATGTTGATGCCCAATACCTCATGGCTATGGATATGGGCCAAGACTTTACCACTAAATGAGACAACCATACGTATAGATACAACTAGTACTAAACCCGAGCAATATTGAGATGCTATGGTTCAAGCTTGATTTGTTCCAAACTTGGATGATTACCATGTAGTTGACTCCAAGCAAGATTACACTACAATTTTGACCATAAGCGTGTGATCACTGGTTTTCACTGTGCTTTTCCACTGGTTTTCAAAGCCCTTGGCCTTGACCATCCACGTGCTGGGTGCAGATCCTTCTCGGGAGACATGGGTTTTTAACGTGTCCCAATGTCACCCCCGGCCCGCTGTATGAGTCGGATTGTGTCGGTGTAACTCTTGAAGTCTTGCTTTGTGCCAAATTGTGCGGTGCGAAACTTGCAAACGGTTTTGTGACTCCTTGGGCTCAAAAGAGGAGCGCAACTATTCAATAGAAACCCGATGCTGCTGCAAGCCCATGTCTACGTGTAATTATATGCTTGTGCGTAGAAGTGGCCAACCTTCCTTTTGAAGGTCTGACAGTCTGCGTTTTCCTCTCGGATGCATGGTATGTTTCTGTTTGCTGCTTTGGCTCTTCCCAGCATGGCCACCGTCGACGCCTGCAAAAAACATGCGCTACATGCATTGATGCCATGAGCCGCTTAGGACCAAAGAAGATGCCGTGCTGGTCATGGTTTCCATTGGTAAATCAAGTTTGTGCCTGCGCTGATATGAGAAAATGCTGTCCCCTACTATGATTTTTGGTTTTCATGCAGAAAAGAAGATGTGCATTGCTTCTCCCACCGCGGCGAAAGCATTCAGATTTTTCAGACGCAATGCTTACATTCAGATGCACCAGACGACGCAAAGCTGCGTGCATTCCAACGATTTGGGATCTTTGGCCGACTCTTGGTCCTGCTGGCTGCTCTGGTGTGTAGCATGTAGTTTTGATGACAAAATGTCTGTGCTGTTCTGCGGCGGGGGTGCCATTATAGAAATTATACCTGACTGAATGAAAGAGACACCTGATCTGTGTTAATTCCACAGCAGTCGTGCGACTGCTGCCTCCCTAGGTTCTCGTTTTTGGATGGGGCGCTGCTGCTGAGCAAGTGCTCAAGGAATTGTTTGGGAGCCAAGTTGTACAGTGCGAGTGACGCTGGTGGTACGTATTGTCCTTGATGAAATCTAGTGGCAGCCTGGCGAAGGGTTAGTGAGTAAAGGTTGGCAAGTTGACCACAATGCTAGAACAGTAGATTACAGTTGCATCATGTTTTTGTACTTGCAATGTGATCGAATGTGTTGCGTGTCAGTGATGCAGGGTTTGGTGCCGGCCCAGGTCTCGTTTCAAGGCGGGGAACTGTCCGCAATGTTGTCTCACAAGACATTGCTATACAGTATACCAGAGCGTCTTCCAAGTGTGCAGCTCTCAAGATTGTTTCGCCACGGTATCGTGCAGTAGCTCAGTAGGACTTAATGCGCGTGGTGCACAGCAGGTGGGGTTAGATATTAACAGTTTGTCTCTTATGGTGGTTCATTAGTCCTTGACTGTTTTAAGAAAAAAGTCAGCTAAAAAGATACAAGCAACATCAAGCAACACACAAAAAAAAACAATAGCAACAACAACACTGCCACCTAACCAGTACCACCGACAAGCCAGACAGACTGGAACTGAACTACACTTGAAAGAAATGATTTTCAAGCCCAATAAACCTCATAGCTTTCTTTGGCAGGCACAATGTGGACAATGCCATGCATGGTTCAAGCAACTGACAGCTCCTAATTTTGACTTACGCATGACTGGAAGGTTGGCCAATGGTCTTACAACAGACTCTACATACCAAACAAGGCGCATGCCAAAAGATTGACACCTGCAATTTTGTGATCCGCGCGCGACTGCCTAACACCAGTGCCACCCTGGATCACAGTAGCTTCTTATACCACAATTAAAGTAACAATTTGCTTGCCAAGCAACTTCCCAACCCCATCAGATTCACATCATGGTTGCATCTATTATCAGCCACTAACGCTTGCCTGTTGGGAAAAAAAGAGCTTTACGTAAGTGCATTTATCATGGCAGAACATCACCTAGCTGGGATTGAATGACTGGCGGCGGCCAGTCAACATCCTCCCTGCCACACAAACATGGAAAGCAATCCTATAGAACATGAGTGCCTGCAAGAGTTCCCGAGTTTACCGACGATGTGTCTCCGTCAACCACATTAGTACTGTAAAGCTCGCTGTAGTGTAATATAATATACAACATGATAGTAGGATATAGTAGGTATGTTTCAGTCTATTCAAGTATAGTTTAGCATAGTATAGGATAGTGTGGTACAGTAAGATAGCAGTATAGTATAGTAAGGTGTAGTATAATCATGTACCTTAGGGTCACCTGACTGTATTGTACCTTAGGGTCACCTGACTGTATTGTACCAAGTTGATACAAGCTGATAACTTTATCTCAGGGTGTCAATCCACAGGAAGGCCTTGAAGCTGTGAGCTGCATCTCCCACACGTCGCAAGCGAAGGACTGCGCTTGGAGCCTCAGCTTCCGCAACGCGGAACTTGGGAAATCATTGGTGGTTTCCCTTCGCTGACCATATGCAAGGTGGTGCCCCCCCTCAGTTATAAGTTGGTTTATGAACATCTATAAACCATAGTAAGTATAGATATATCTACCGCAAACATCCATAAACCATATAGTGATTGGTGTTATGTTCACCAACTTAGCTAACGAACTGGGACACCACCTTGTAACAGCATGTAAACCCACGAAGAAACGTACTAACTACTACGGTGTCAAAAATGCAAAATGTTTCATGGCTCCGACGAATGCAGGAACTTGCAGGCTCCAATTGTTCAAAACAATGTTTGCTATTAAGACATTGTTTGAGGCCAACTGTTTGGGCAGTTTTCTTTTTGTACGATTGATTTTCTAATGACGCCAGTCAGTGCCAGTTGGACGCTTTTCTGATCTGAGGATTTGCGAGATGTTTGCACAGCTCTGGACTTTGATTGCGTGAGCAGCGGCCAGTTAATTGAGATGCACCTTGCAAAACACCGATTCCATGAGCAGCTACGATAGTAGGATTGATTTCAAAGATGGAGCTCAAAGATTTTGCCCGCAGAACCAGGGTGTTTTGATGAGCCAGGATTGCCTGCCTGCAATTTTCTCACATTTCCACATGGTTTATATCGTTCTACAATGTTCTACATGTTCTATTTATTAAGGCGTCCAGCCACCGATGCATGTGTATGTGCCGAACGTCAGCGAGCTGCTCCCGCCACATGTCCGGCAACATTTCGACATGGACACGGCCAGTGCCAGGTGTTGCTCGATAGCAATGCTGACATACTGAAGAGACTCTGATGCAAAATGCAACATGTTTATTTCCGGGTGGGTTAAAGGGTGAAGATCAGGAAAAAAAACGCTTATAAGCTGTACCATCTGGGGTTCGGCTTCTACCTATGCTTAAACCAGCAAGGTCTGACCTGTGAGCCGGTTCTGTCAAACAAACAGCTCCCGCCCACTGGGAGTTTTGGGTTGGTGTTTTACAGCGAAAGGACGCATGTCTGGAATATGATACAATCATGGAGCATCCTACAAGGCGGTGCCCCATAGTTAGCTAAGTTGGTTTATAACTCCAAAAACTATGGTTTATGGTAGATCTATCATGATATATCTATACCTTCTATATCCTTCTATGGTTTATAAACCAACTTACAACTGGGGGGCACCACCTTGTACCCTTTTATGTTAGCCAACCGTTGAACTTCACCATGCTTTTCGATCCAGACATGATGAATTCGCCTCAAGGGCCGCAAGTGGTTTCCGACCAGACTTGATTGTCTCCGCGTCGGCCTGGCGAAGTTGGGCAGTTGGGTCAAATCCGATTACTGGTTGGGCAAAAACAATGAATCAGCAATTAGTAATTACCTATTAGTAGTAGATTGGAAAAGTATAATTACCTATAGTAGAAGTGGATACTCCTTGGTTGTAATCACTTTTCCAGTGGGAAAGGCATTGTTCAGAGAGCTTTCAGTGCAGGGATATGTCAGAGCTATGAAGCAGCAAAAACGCGAAAACAATTTCAAGTGCGCAATGTAAATTTCAATTATCCATTAATCTGAAAACCAAATCTGTCTAATATGCCTTCCCCTTCTACGATCGAAAAAAAAACTCCAAACTCCAAACATATGGTGGATGTTAAGAAGATGGGCAAGCATTCGCACGCATAGGATTGACCCCCTTTTTCTAAATTCCATTGGGGAGTCAGGCACATGTTCTTCACCCCCAATAGCCTCATATGGGGACATGAATATGTGTCTTTGACAAGTAGTTTGACCAATTTAATCACGTGCAGGCGCAATTTGTTACATGTGGTTTGAAGTATCGGCAAGCCTGTTTGATAAACAACTGTGCGAGAGCCGGCAATGTGGAAAGGCAAGGCGCGACTTGCACGTTATTTCGGGAAGCCAGAAGCGCGTTTCGCTTTTCGTCAGGGTTTTCTCACTAATGACAGAGTTTTGCCGGGGATTGGGTGGCGGGGCTAATAAGGCTCGTTTACTCTTGCACACGTGCATGATGTCCTTCCATGAGCATGCTCTTGCAAGTGCATGCGTGAATGCAATGTGTTTTTTCAGCCGCGCACATGCTTGATGTTAGGCTATGGCTGAAACGAACAGGTCTCTTGCTCCTGCACATGTGCCTGATGTCATGCTATGATCATGTCTTCCCAACTTGCGCACGCACTTGATGTTATGCTATGAACATTTCTCTTGTAGCTGCGCATGTGCTTGATGTTTTGCTAAATAGACAGGAAAAATGACAGAAACATTAGAGGCCCTTATATTGCGCAGCTGGGTAAAGATAGTCTGAATACAGGTCAATATAGCTCATATATAATTATTTTTCTTATATGTCAGCAATCAGCAAGCAAGTTCATATGATCCGATGTACTCCAGGACTTGTTGTGTAAAAATGTCGACTCCCACGTGAGTTTGCGCCAAAGGGTTTGGCAGGGTCTAAAGCCTTGAATTCTTATAGCATCTGATAGCATCAAAAAGTTTTTGTTCGGCCATGACCATGCCAAACACGTGAAGGTCCTATCGAAAGAAAATCCCTGCGAGTGTGCCGGATGACTCAATTTTGTTGGGACATGCCGTGGATTGCGCCCATACTGTTTCAGGATTAATTTGGCTTTCTGCTCTCCCATTATTCAACATCATTCACTATAGACTTTAGGGGATGAACAAACCACCCTGGTACGTCACGTTGATTTTGGATCTTCGAACACTCCCTGATTGCCAGATCAATTTCTGGTGTTTGGACATCAGCTTTTGGTTACGTTTTACTATATAGCGGGTAACAACCCCGAATTGCAATGTTTTGGAATCAAAACATTTGATGCGTCTCATGTGTTTTGCATCTGTATCGGCTCTTTTCACTAGAAGTGTTTACTTGACTTTGCCCACATCTTTTCTTACCCTGCAGACCCATCCATCTTCTTTTGGTTCTTGACATGTGGGGTAGCCCCTGAGGTTGAACCTTTGCCGCGATTGTGTCAATTTCCATCCTTCTCTGCTGCCCAAGCATAGGGGCTGCTGGTGAGCACGCCCAGCCTGAAAGATTCATGTTGTGGAGGTCATGGCCATGGTTCAAAATGTTGAAAGTTGTATTCATATGTTGTGGCGTGCGGACTTTGAAAAAACATGCGCGCAGACCCTCCATACTAGTGGCTGTTTCACTATCCAGCTCAAGGCTCAAGAAACACGCAAGCCATGACCATTTCAGAACATTGGAGCACACATTTACAAAGTAAGTATATAGGGCCAAAAGACTAACACACTTCCGTTCGTGCTTCAGTTATAGGTGCCAAAACTTCCGCATTTTCTTAACTTCTGGGATGGCAATCGGTTTGCCGCAGTCAGCAAAACCAGCCGATGATTGATGGTATCCGATTTGAATTTTGAGAAGGACTTGACTGACAAAGAAAGGGCGGTTCATTTCACAACTCGTTGACACGATGATGGATTCGACCGGTTTACTGCCAGATCATACTGCATCCGGTGGTTGAAAATCCCTCAGCCCATCAGCAGGAACCGTGTCTGGGTTTGTTCAAACGCGAGAACCCCCTAAAACCTAAAGGTTCAAACCCATTTCCCGTTTTGAACCTGTTTCAACATGGTCACAAAGTTTGGCCACTGCTCCTCGGCGAGGTCGGGTTTCTGGTGCATCTTCGAAGGGGACGCAGAGACGGGCGTAACCTGCCATCGAATGGTCGAGGAAAAGCGTCACTACAAGAGATGAACATTCGGTTCACGAAGTTCACGGCATCATGGTTTCAATTTTCAAACCCAGGCATGGGGTTTACCTGTGTCCCAGCACTGATAGCCCTAGACTCCAACAAGTTCGGTAACAATTTGCAGATTGGCTATTTCTACAGCATTGACTACGATCAAGGCTGTCAATAGCTACTACCACTTGACCACTACCACTAGTACTAATGGTATTTCAAGCACTACCGCCAGCCGCAGTCGTGCCTACCACCGGCAGTAATACCAGTAGTACCGCACAAGGCGGTGGCGGAAGTTTCTAAAATAGGAAACCTATAGGAGAGGTTGGTGGTTGTGAATCAGGGGTGGCAGAGCGAAGCCACTGATGGACCGAAAGGTGCTTGAGGTCTCCTCTCTTTCTCTCTCTTTCTCTCTCTTTCTCTCTCTTTCTCTCTCTTTCTCTCTCTTTCTCTCTCTTTCTCTGACTATCTATCTATCTATCTATCTACCTATCTACCTATCTACCTATCTACCTATCTACCTATCTACCTATCTATCTATCTATCTATCTACCTATCTATCTGTCTAGCCATCTATCTATCTATCTCATCTACCCAGCTGCCCTCTCTCTCTCTCTCTTTCATCTAATTACCTATCTATCTATCTATCTATCTACCTACCTATCTATCTATCTCTCCCTTTCATCTGTCTATCTGTCTACCTGTCTATCTGTGTTGCAGTGTCATTCAGTGTAATGTAGTGTGGTGTAGTGTAATTTAGTGTAGTGGAGTGTACTGGAGCGTAGTGTAGTGTAATGTAGTGTACTGGAGTGTAGTGTAATGTCCTGTAGTGTAGTGTAGTGAAGCGCAGCGACATCTGAACCTCCAAAAGTGATCCGAACCCCTAGTGTTTTGAACATTTTGACTTCGAAATGTGCTTCGCGCCACAACGCCGTGCACTTTTTCAACATCTCAACTTCCAAAAGTGCTCCGACCGCCAGTTTTTAACACTTTTGACTTCGAAATGTGCTTCGCGCCACAACGGTGTGCACTTTTTCGTCATCTCAACTTCCAAAAGTGCTCCGAGACCCTCAGTTTTTAACACTTTTGACTTCGAAATCTGCTTCGCGCCACAACGCCGTGCACTTTTTCAAGATCTCAACTTCCAAAAGTGCTCCCAACCCCTCAATTTTTAACACATGTTACTTCCAAATGTGCTTCGCGCCACAACGCCGTGCACTTTTTCGTCATCTCAACATCCAAAACTGCTCCGAACCCCCTGGTTTTTAACACATTTTTCTTCCAAATGTGCTTCGCGCCACAACGCCGTGCACTTTTTCAACATCTCAACTTCAAAAAGTGGTCCGATCCTGAGGTGTTTTGTGCCTTTTCACTTCGAAATCGGCTTCGTGCCACAACGGCGTGCAACTTTTCATCTCTCATCTCCCCAGATGTCTCCGCACCCGCCGCTTTAGCGAGCCTACTTTTCAACCCTCCGGAGCCACAAAACCAAGAAAAAAACACAGCGTTTCGCGACTTTCCTACCTTTTCGCGCACCTGCATCTTCTTTCTTCTGATCTTTTCTCTTCTGACTCTTCTCCCTGCTGACTGCTTTTTCATCTCTCCATATTGTCGGAGGTTTGACTTCTAAACTTCCTTCGGTCAACATTCTACATAATTTATTTTGATTCGATGCAACTGCAACAATTCTTTTTTACACCAGCAACAACGAGGACAAAGACAAAGACAACGACCACGAGCACATCAACAGAAACAACAACAACAACAACAACAACAACAACAACAACAACAACAACAACAACCAGAACAACCACAACAACAACAACAGCAGCAGCAACAACAACAAGACAACAGCAATAGCAACATCAACAGCCACAGCAACAGCAACACCAAAAACTTATTGCCAATAACACCAATAACACCAATAACAGCAACAACACCAATAACACTTCCAACACCTACTGCTACTGCTGCTGCTGCTACTGCTCCTGCTGCTGCTGCTGCTGCTGCTGTGCTGCTATTGCTGCTATTGCCACTATTGCTACTATTGCATTTCTACTACTACTACTATTGCATTTCTACTACTACTACTACTATTGCATTTCTACTACTACTACTATTGCATTTCTACTACTACTACTACTACTACTACTACTACTATTGCATTTCTACTACTACTACTACTACTACTACTACTACTATACGACTACTACGACTACTACGACTACGACTACGACTACTACTACTGATACTACTACTACTACTACTACGACTACTGTTACTACTACTACTACTACTACTACTACGACTACTACGACTACTACGACTACTACGACTACTACGACTACTACTACTACGACTACTACGACTACGACTACTACTGATACTACTACTACTACTACGACTACTGTTACTACCACTACTACTACCACTACTACTACTACTACTACTACTACTACTACTACTAGGACTACGACCACTACCAGTACAAATACCACTACCACTACCACTAGTAGTACCACTACCACTACTACCACTACTACCACTACTACCACTACTACCACTACTAGTACTACCACCACCACCACCGCTACGACTACTACAACAACTACCACACTACCGCTACCGCTACCGCTACTACCACTACTTCCACTACTACTACTACTACTACCACCACTACCACTACTACTACCACTACCACTGCCACTGCCACTGCCACTGCCACTACCACCACCACCACCACCACGACTACGACTACGACTACGACGACGACGACTACTACTACTGATACTACTACTACTACTACTACTACGACTACTGTTACTACTACTACTACTACGACTACTACGACTACTACGACTACTACGACTACTACTACGACTACTACGACTACGACTACTACTACTGATACTACTACTACTACGACTACGACTACTTACGACTACTGTTACTACTACTACTACTACGACTACTACTACTGATACTACTACTACTACTACTACGACTACTTACGACTACTGTTACTACTACTACTACTACTACTAGGACTAGGACTACGACTACGACTACGACTACGACTACTACTACTACTACTACTACTAGGACTACGACTACGACTACGACTACTACTACTACTACTACTACGACTACCACTACCAGTACAAATACCACTACCACTACCACTACCACTAGTAGTACCACTACCACTACCGCTACCATACTACCACTACTACCACTACTAGTACTACCACCACCACCACCACCACCGCTACGACTACTACAACAACTACCACACTACCGCTACCCCTACCGCTACTACCACTACTACTACTACTACTACTACTACTACTACTACCACTGCCACTGCCACTGCCACTACCACCACCACCACCACCACGACTACGACGACGACGACGACGACCACGACGACGACGACGACAACGACGACGACGACGCTGACGACGACGACGACGACTACTACTACTATTTTTCTGTTACAAAAGATATGTGGGCAATGTGGTCACTTCAATTTTTTTCCCAAAGTCACACGTTGTTGAAAATCGAAACGCCAAGCAGACCTAATTTCACGTTGGTCGATTCTTGATTTGAGCTGATTTGAACCAACTGCAGTAGTTGGGTGTGAAAGATAGGGAGTCTGGTGTTGGCAGAAGGATGAACAATGGAAAATACATAGCGACTATAGTTCTTAGTCATTGAATGATCTTGCTGGTGTGGTTTGAGAAGGTGTATCATACACAAACAGGAGAAGTCTCCGCTTGTCTGAAGGGGTCGGCGATCTAATGTTGTCGAATGCCACATGTTGCTGTGGGAACATGTGCCGACCCGCTGTGCAAAAAAAGGGCAAGGATTGCATTTCTGTTTGCGGCCACAGGACTTTGATGCGGGGCTGATTGTACAGCAAGAGCGGCTCCCATTGGCCTGGGCCCCATAGCTGTGGCCATGTCACAGGTCGACTCATGTGTATTTCACTTTGCTGAAAATTGATGTGCAGAACTGGCTCACAGACTCTTGATACAAGATCATTTTGCGAAAGGTATTGATGCCTCAAGGGGTGCTGTGTGCCCCCATCTAAGGCAAATTTTACTCGTCACCTCGGCTTTTGAGAATGAAACCTGTCCAACTTCAAACCCGACAAATCATTAGATTTACCCTCGGCACGGCAAAGTCAAGTTGGCAACCTTCTGTATTGCCAAGGAACCGTCGGATACATCTTTTTCAGTTGGCGCCAGCTAGTTTGAAAGCAGAATGTTGCAGATGTGCAAGACACCATGTTCATCAATCTAGAAGGATGGGGCACTCTTAGAATCCATGGAACCAGTGCCCACGAGTTTTATCTAGGTTCATAAAATTTGACTATAGATATACTTGAATACTATAAACCATAGTTATTGTAGAGCAATTTTATGCAATTTCGCCAATCAAGCAAACCACTTCAATAAGCAAGCGGGGCTGGTCCGAAGTTATTGAACGACTCAGGCAGTCACAAGCAGGTGTAATTACTCATCGATCGGCCATGTGCTACTTTAGTTGCAGGACATTGCAGGACGTTACTTTCCTTCGCATGTTGTGCAAGCCCAATCAGAAAAGCATGTCGGTTTTGGACATGTCGAAATATATTTTTCAGTCAAGAAGAACAGCTCTTTGAATTTTTCAGCAGGTTGAACACGCAGTTGACTCGGTCGCAACCGCTATGCAGTCGATGTTTTTTTCGGTTCATACACATCGCCCACATGCTGCAAGCAGCGGCGCGCCAGGTGTATCAGAAACTCTTGCCTGTAACTGCACTTTGTGCCCGCGCAGTGCACGATCCTCAAACCCGCCAAAATCTATAAATCTGTATGTAAAGCATTGTAAAGCATTTTTTTGTTGAAGCTTTGTTTTCAAATACAGAAGATGTAAGCTTGCCCAAGAGCATGGTTGCACTGGGACTCATGAGACAATCACACAACGTAGGGACAGAGCACTGCGCACGCACCATGTTCACCTTCTTGCAGGATATTATGCGTATTGCCTTGAATACCATCATACATCCTTTCAGTTCACGCAGATAGGGACAAGTGCAAGTATTGCCAAAGAGAGATTTAATTTGAATGCATCCTTGAAATGCCAAAGGGTGGTATCAAGATGGCTTGGGAAATTCGATGTAAGCACATGGCACATGGAGCGTGAACTATCAGAGTTGCGGGGGGGGTTGGAGGTGGGTACCATCATTGTCATTTTAAAGAGTCAATGATAGTCAATGTATATCCTTCAGATTCCAGCCGAGACCACATCGCGCGGGCCGGGGCAGCCGACAGTGCTTGCCCGTAGAGGTCGTAAATTGTTTTAGTTTCTTTTTAGGGGTGTAGGTACTTTCTTATTTGAAGTGCTTTGGACACTTCGTGCTTTTACACTTCTGAGAAAGTTTTGCTTATTTACTATCAGTATATTACATATCATGCAAGATGTGCATGCAACTTCCGACATACGTGGAGTCGGTTACATGTGTTCTTTTCAAGCACATATGTGTGGGTATGTGTGTGTGTATGCGCAATGTGTTGACATGCAATGTATTTGTACTTTTTTCCGAACGAACACAAACGTACATGTATTTCATGAAATCTGATTTTCAATCGTGTGTACATCCTGTTTGAATGTATACATTTACATGCCTTTCTTGTTGTTCAATCGAATGAAAACATTTCAACTGCATTTGCATCTACACATGCTTACAATATATTTTCAAGTGTTTGTGCAAATGATTGACTACATATTTGAAGTCGAACATACAGAGGTAAATACAAAAAGATCGACATACAGTCACATACAGTCACATACAGCCACATTCACATACATACAGACAGACAGACAGGCAGGCTGACAGACAGACATACAGACATACATACATACAGACATGCACACATACAGACAACCAGACATGCAGACATACAGACATACACACGCACAGACGCACAGACATACAGACATACAGACATATGCAGAAACACACACACATACATACATACATACATACATACATACATACTTTACACACACACAGACATGCATGCATGCAGACATTCAGGCATATACGTACACATACATATAATTACATATAATTATGTAATTACATATATAGTTATAGTTTTATAGTCACATTTAATTACATTTAACTACATTTAATTACATATAATTACATTTAAATACATACATACACATGCATACATGCATGCTTACAAACTCATACATACACATACATTGACGTTTAGATTCGTCCACATATACTTACTTACAGAACATCACATTACATTACATTATAATACATACATGCATACATACACATACGTATACATACGTATCCATGTACATACATACACATACACTCACATTCATATTACATACAGATACATACATTTACAGACGCATACACACACATACATACACATATACATACTTGCATGCAATGCATGCATGCATGCATGCATACATGCATGCCATGCCTGCATACATACATGCAAAAATACAGATATAGTCCTGCACAACCATGCAAACATGATTGTAAAACAAATAATTTGAATTATTTTGGTTATATATAAATATATGCACTGTATGGTCTGTATCGATTTAATTATATATGTGTGTGCGTGTTTACATTTACATTTTTCATACGCGCATACACATGCATATATAACTGCAGACATGATGAGAGCCCTTCTTTTCTGGCTTTGCGTCTGGCCTTTGACTGTTGCTTGAGGAAAAACATGGATTTGGGAACCTGACCCTGATGGATACAGAATGTTCACCGGCTTTTGCAAGGCTCGCGAGATACTTTTCCACTGGTTTACCACCAGGCGTGTCAGCCTCGCCTTTTTGCAAAGCAAAATCCAGTTTCGCAGACATTTCAATTTTGAAAGGAATCCAGGCGTTGTGAATTTGAATGATGGGTTACAAAAAAAGAAATGAGAGGAAACTTGAAGATCTTCGAGAATCTTCTCTTTGGCATCGCTTCTGTAGGTGAAGAGCAGAAAGGCGAGAGTTCCTACCACTACAGGACTGCCATGTTCCCACCCAGCCAGGTTTCCAAAACATGTGCAGGGTTTGCACCTCGAGCGCAGGAAACTACCCTTTGAAGGCTTGATACAGCCTGAATGGTCTGAAACGCAGGCTGTGTGCCGCTTTGTTTCAGCGTGAAACCATTTGTGATGGGTTTCTCATGGTATTTTGTGATTTCGGGTCATGAGGGGCATGCAAAACTACAGCATGTTGAAGGTGCATGAAGTGAGCAAAATCAGTCAGACCTTGCTCACCACGGAAGGGGAACCAGAGATCATGGTGCTGTGCAGGAGCTAACGTATGATCATTTTAGCCTGTATGCCGTATCCTTCCAATTCTCACCAGCCATGCAGGTTGAGCGTTTCATCCGGGCCATGTATTTTCCTCCATTTGATGGCGCGGCCATGCTGGTGAACGGTCGGCAGATGCCCGTGGAATCACTGGAGGCGGATGGTCATGCCGTCCAAGCTCAAATCAAGCCGATGTTTTTTTGACGGTTTCATAAAAAAACGGTTGGCAAACTTTCATAAGCAAGGGGGCCCACTGGGCAGGGCATTCGGCTCTAGGTTGTTGGCTTCGAAAAAGACCCGGATCTTGGGAATTTGAACCACTTCTAGCCACTTCTTTGCAGACACGCTTCTAGGTCCTCAGGTTTGGTGTGTTTTTCATACGATGCCGTAGAACCTGAGTTGTTGAACACCCATTGGTTCAATACGGGTCAACATGGTTCAATCCTGTCAGGCAACTGACGATTTTTTGTTCACCTCAACTGAGCCAAGACTTCAACCTCTTGCTCCTTCCATGGCATGAACTTGAGGAACTCAGTACTTTACATTACTTTACCAGATTTCACCCTAGCAACTGAGTCAGTGCTGAATTTGGCACTCCATTGTTGCACCGATGGCCGGGTGCAAACGCGCAGTATGGGCTTCCTTGGGGCCAACGCATCGCAATGTCGATGTATGACAGCAGGGCACATGGGCTAAAGTTGGGGATGAAGGCTGCATGTGTGCATGGGTTGTGGCCCGGTGCCTCGCTGCAGCTGTGGGGCGGGGTCATGGTGTTGACTAGCCCCACTACCCGAGCTGGAAAGGGGAGGCCATCGATTGCATGTCCTACTGCTTCTTGCAATTGAAAGATTGTTTGCTTGGATGCATCAGGACGGAATTTGTGTTTTCCATTGACACAGGTTGGTACGAACGGACGTGCGCTGGCAACTGAAGGGAAGAAGCAACTGTGAGACTTTCAATGTTGTGTCAGGAGAGATTTGCTGTTGTTCGCTTCGGTTTGTCCATTTTGACCATGTTGTTTGCGTTCTGACAAAGTTTTGGACACATAAAAGATATAAAAGCTTGAGTTGGCTGGAGATGAGGGTGCTGGCACCGTGAGATGTTTGCTAGAAATGCTTCACAATCACTATCCCACTTGTTTGTCTTTCAGTTTGGAGGCTCAGCAGCAGGAGGACCTGTTCCTTCTACCATTTGGGATTCTGAACATGGCATGTTTTTGTGGAATTTAGCCGAAAGGCGAGCAGCGTTCACCCTAACAATTGAGTAAGTGCTGAATTTGGCACTCCATTGTTGCACCGCTGGCCGGGTGCAAACGCGCAGTATGGGCCTCCTTGGGGCCAACGCATCGCAATGTCGATGTATGACAGCAGGGCACATGGGCTAAAGCGCTTGCTGGGGATGAAGGCTGCATGCGGGCATGGGTTGTCGCCCGGTGCCTCGCTGCAGCTGTGGGGCGGGGTCATGGTGTTGACTAGCCCCACTACCCGAGCTGGAAAGGGGAGGCCATCGATTGCATGTCCTACTGCTTCTTGCAATTGAAAGATTGTTTGCTTGGATGCATCAGGACGGAATTTGTGTTTTCCATTCACAGGTTGGTACGAACGGACGCGCGCTGGTAACTGAAGGGAGGAAGCAACTGTGAGACTTTCAATGTTGTGTCAGGAGAGATTTGCTGTTGTTCGCTTCGTTTTGTCCATGTTGACCATGTTGTTTGCGTTCTGACAAAGTTTTGGACAAATAAAATATATAAAAGCTTGAATTGGCTGGAGATGAGGGTGCTGGCATCGTGAGATGTTTGGGAAAGGGGTTGCTAGAAATGCTTCACAATCACTATCCCACTTGTTTGTCTCTCAGTTTGGAGACTCAGCAGCAGGAGGACCTGTCTCTTGTACCATTTGGGATTCTGAACATGGCATGTTTCTGTGGAATTTAGCCGAAAGGCGAGCAGCGTTCACCCTAACAATTGAGTAAGTGCTGAATTTGGCACTCCATTGTTGCACCGCTGGCCGGGTGCAAACGCGCAGTATGGGCCTCCTTGGGGCCAACGCATCGCAATGTCGATGTATGACAGCAGGGCACATGGGCTAAAGCGCTTGCTGGGGATGAAGGCTGCATGCGGGCATGGGTTGTCGCCCGGTGCCTCGCTGCAGCTGTGGGGCGGGGTCATGGTGTTGACTAGCCCCACTACCGAGCTGGAAAGGGGAGGCTAAAGAAGGGTTCTTATGTGTTTCACTGACGGATTGATTCGTAGAGGATGGACATTGGTGACTTGTGTCTTGCTTTGCATGGCCTTGCCGCCATCGAACACTGCGGCAAAATGCCGGCCACAGAGCAGACCATTGAGATTGTTCTGCTAAACTTTTGTTGTTTGGATTTCAATGTTCAAAGCCCTTGGGGTTTGTCTTTCAGATCTGCCACAAGGCCACAAGGGTGTTGTTTTCCCCGATCTGGTCGAATCAGACAATTACACGTCACCCCCCAGCACTAAGTTGCATGAAATTATGCTGTTAAACATTTGACCAGTTACTTGTGCATGATGCCTTTTGGCAATGAAGTTGAAACTCTCCAAGCGTTCACCCTGACAACTGCATATCCAGCGCCCGTTTGGCGCGCAGTTGATGCACCGCTGGCCGGGTGCAAACGCGCAGCATGCGGCTTCCTTGGGGCCAACGCATCAACTTGGATGTATGACAGCGAGGCAAATGGGCTAAAGCGCTTGCTGGGGATGAAGACTGCATCGCCTCAGGATGCCGCTAGGCACCCGTATACGAGCGTGGCAGTTGTGACGTCGAGTCGACGTCGCGTTCCGGGCTGGAAAGGGGAGGCCTCTTTGTAAGAAAGATTCTGCAAGACGATTAGTGATGCATTCCGTGGTAGCCAGTTGCCTCAACTTGTTGAACTACTAGAAACGCAGTGGGTTCTGGTTCTCATGTTTGTTCCCTGCATTGAACTTGACAACCTGCCACTTGACTGCTTGAGTATGGACCATGGACAGTGGGACACCCAAATAGTAGCAGATCATGATCATGCTCACATAATTTGGGGCCATAATTGCGCAGAAGGATAATGTTTGTAGTCTCCAATGCTATCACTTGGCCTGCTGTAACCCTTACTCGAATCATGGGATTTCCGTGGCCTTAACTGGCAGGGTGTCGAAGGTAAACACTTTTCTCTCAACATTGTGTTTGGAAGGTGGTTGGTTGTGTTTCACAGAATGTCATGAGGTGATGGGAGCAGCGTTCCAACCTGAGCAGACATATGGAATATTACAAGGGAATGGTCTCTTTTTAGATTTTGTTTCGGGTCAGTGTGGGGAATTATGTTAGCCTTTCTCTTTGGACTGTCCATTGCTTTTTTTCTTTTGGTACCTTTTGGTATTTCTTGTTTCGCTCTATTTTTTCTGCTTTGCTGCTTTTATGCTTCTCTGCTTTTCTGCTGCTTTGCTTCTCTGCTTTACGGTTTAATTTTGTTTCTCTGCGTTTCTGCTTTTCTGCCTCTTCGCTCTTTTGCTGTTTTGCTTCATTGCTTTTCTGCTTCACTACTTCTTTTTTTGTTTTTGATCGTTTTTGCTTCTTTGCTTTTCTTTTTTTCTGATTTTCTGCTTTTCATGTTTCTGTATATTCTTGGTTCTCTTTTTTTTGTTTCTCTGCTTTGCTGCTTTGCTGTTTTTTTTGAGTTGTTTGTCTCTCTGTTTTCCTGTTTTCTTACACTTGTAAATGCACTCGTCTGCATATAAAAAACATTTGTATATATATATATATACTTATATTTATACACCATATACATACATACATATCTATATACATACTTTATATATATATTTATCACATGCATACATACATACATACATACATACATACCAATTTAATATTACATATATATATATATGCAAAGTTATAGGTGTTTATATATATATATATATATTTCTCTCAAACATACTAAATGCAGCACCTTATTTCAGTAAATCAACCATAAGCCAACCCAAAAAAACTTCAATAGACTTGACTGGCTGTCCGTTAAGATATTCTTTTTATTCTTTCGATGTTTGGTTGATGTATAGGGATCATAAACTCAAGATTGGATGACAAAGAATATAATCATCATCTATAATAAGGACTCCTGTATATCACATTGTTCCCCATCTTCATCCTCATCATCAACATCATCCATCGTAACTAACTGCCAGGATAACTACAATTTACTGGTAGTCATTGACATGATTAGATGAATGGTTGTGATGATTTGACGATTGGGTCATTGACATCGTAACTAATCAAGTCATTGACATTGCAAAGGCAATGAATGTCAATGACACAAATTAGATGATGATGACAGTGTCATTGACATTCATTGGCTTCAACGCCCGTTCCACGACGCCGCAAGTGTTCATCAGTTCCCTCCAGTGGGTTCACATCCTCGACTTTCAGGACTGCCCAGTTGTGAGTTGTGTGTGAACATCGTCATGACATGTCGTATTCTAAAATTATTTGAGCAAACATTATGAGGTTTGGTTGGCCAACTTACTTTTGAACCCTGTGCAGGATGACGCTGCACGTGGCAGCTTTGCTCTTCCCTGGTTGGCTCCTCAGACATGAACTCAAGGTTTCCAGTGCCACAATTGTGATTCTGAGATCAGATGTGTATAGTAGTTGGCATTGACAGCAACGATCTGAGATATTGCCATCATTGCAGCGCAATTGATGGGTCGGAACCTCACTGACCTGGAGGAGATGACATCAGTAGATTTCGCTGACAAGTGATTGACTGAACATTCAATTTTATTTATTTCCACCGTTTTTCCAACATTCCAGGAGGAACGAGCTCATTCGTTGATCCAAATGATGGTGGAGGGCGCAGGCACATGCAAACACTGCAAACAATCCAAACAATGCAAATCTTCCAGACAGAGTGAGGCACAAGCCTTGACATCACGCTTGAGTTTGGGCCTCAAATGCAAATTGTCATTGACTTTTGAATGCAGTGTCATTGACATTGAAATAATTAAAATTAAACTTCAGTCACTGACAGCAACTAGTTTTAATAGTAACTCTGTCACTGACATCATCATGATTCGTGTACTTTTATCAGGTTGAAAGAAGGACTTGCGAAGGCAGTTTGTCTTCTGATGGAGCTCCGGTCAATGACAACGTTGTATCAGCGTGCTTTGCCTTAGCACTGAGTGTTTACTGTCAGAAGCAGCAGCTGTCATAGTATGTGAACAAGGCGGTGGGACTCGTGACCTTGTGGCAAACAACTCCGAGCATTGTCCAGCGCTCGGCATTGCCGTCGTTGATTTGTTGACTTTAGACTGTTTCGAACTTGAGTGCAGCAAGTCTACTGGTCACATTCCTCCCATCTGTTAGTGCCATTTGGCATCTTAGGCTCAGTCTCCAAAGCTGGAATCTCAGCAATCTTGCACCTGAGTCTCTCATTTCTTGAACCAGCTTGCAGATGTCATGGCCATTGTCACACATTCAATTGTTTATCAACATTGACCTTCACTTGCATAGTGACCGCAGCTGCGTTCATATGTGTTCATAGTGACTTGCATTGCAACTCAAACAGTCGTAATCTGAATAAACAAATTGATGTCAGATTGTCACACGACCACTGACTGGGATTCAAAAATTGATGGTTTCAACCACAGACGCCTGTCAAGATCAGCTGACATGAATTTGACATAGTCTTAGTGCTGGCCATGACCAAGAGACGTTGGCAACAGGGTGACGATGGCAGTGATGAAGAGTGGGATGCAGGTGAAATCCAGCGGCTGCAGCGGCAGGACTCTTGTCCCTGATCGTGGATCAAATCTTTACTTGAATCAAATCCTTCACTGTCGTTTGCGACACAGTTAGTGCTTGTTACTGTGTCATCATCACAAATTGTCATTGACTCCTTTACCATGGCTGACTCAGGTGAGCCAAAAACTTGGTCCAGGCGGTGCCAGGTCGTCGTGGCCAGAAAGGGTGCTCATTGTTGGATGGGCTGCTAAGGAATGGTGGGACAATCCGATTGAAGCTGTGATGGACAGAACGGAACCGGCACAGTTCCACAACTTGGCCCAGTCCCTGAGAGTGAATGTTCCAGTGAAACAGCTACTTTGCTGAAGCTGCAGCTGTCTTCAGTTTGTTGATGTCCATGATGCCTTCACCTAAACCTGAATTTAACAAATTTGTTTGTTATTTTGACTCGACCCATGTCAGTCTAAAGCTTTGCGCCACCAAGACCACATATTCAGCATCACAGTGGCTTGCGGTCCTGCATCCAACAGACTGTCGCTGGACTCAGTTGTGGATTCATGTCATTCATCACTCACCCAGTTCTGATGATGAACCCTGTTGAAACATTTGCATTTGCTGCATTAATATGCATTAATCAAGGTCTTCCAGCACCACAGAGCTATGCCAGTCTTGTGCAAGATGCTGGAGATGATTGGCCTGATTGTGGCCATTAACTGCAAAGCCGGCTACCATAGAACGAGTGCATTTGTGGCATTGCTATCAGCAGTCCTGTCTGCAACTTGAATTTATTGGCCCAGTCATGTTGCTTCATGACAGCCATGTTATCTTGTTTAACCGAGTTGATTCAAACTGCGTGTCTTGTGTTCTTGTTACTTGGGAAGCCCCCTAAGGTCTTTGGTGTGGAATGCTGTTGCATCATTTTTAGCCTCAGCCAGAAACGTGCCTGGAGACAAGACCGAGAAGCAATCAACAGGTGGCTGGATGAAAGTGACGCAATCAAGAGGCGCCCATGCCAAGCAGTAGTCAGTGTCTCCAATCCAAGTTGAACGACATATTGTTAATTCTGACTTGCCGATGATGATGTTGCCACGACTGACTGTGTTCATTTTTAGTTGATGGCTGTTGCAGGTCTCTGATTGCCTCTGAATCATTGGCCCGGATGGGAATGTCTTCAAGGCAGTGGGCCCAAATTCAAATCAAGACTCTTTCCAACTTCTGGCGCATCCACAACTGCCATCCATATCCTTTGCCAGACTGTTTGAGGTTCCTGGGTGAAATAATCAGATTGTCATTTACACTGTGCGAGATTGAAGTTATAAATTTACGAACCCAACGCGAACCAAGGCTTCCGCGACCCCAACCAAAGGTTCGACCACAGCAACGGAAACAGCCGAAGGCGAAGTCGATGCCAAAGCGTGGTTTGGCACCAATGCTTCCATTGCCTCCATCTTATCCACCCCGAGCGGACTTGTGGGCAACTGCAGCACAGAATTTGCAATTGCAATCCATATTGATTCTTGTCGTGAAATGTCAGTCAAAAACACATGCCATATCATGCCATTGTCAGTCAGCTGTAGTCAACTTCAAGTGTCAGCCCAGTTCATGATTGCTGAGTGAGGATGGAGATCTTTGAAGGCGTCCCTGAGAACCTCAAGCGAATTCTTCTTGTCTTGCCCCTCTGCCGGCAAATACGCTTTGCCCCAATGATCTGGCGACAGGACCTTCATGCGACTTACGGTCCTCGTTGGCCTCGCTATTTGTTGAATTGTCTCATTTGTGACATTGGAGCAGTTGCTGAGCATGATGAGTGATGAGTATTAGATCCTTGCTTGCAATTGATTGTTTTCAAGTGCAGTATCAAAATCAAATTTGGGTTGCTGAGTTGCTGATGAGTGTGGGTCTTTGTTGGATGAAGTTGTTGACGATGTTCTTATCTTAGGATGTTATGATGCTCCCGTCATTGACCTGTGCACAATTCAATCGTCATTGACCTGAGCTAGACTACAGTGATGTGTCGTTTGTCATTGACAGTGGAAAAATGCGTCCACACTGATGATGCCTCACATGACTCTTAGACAACTGAGTTTGCGAAAGTATTTGACTTCACTTGGTTTGAAGCAGCAAAGAGATTCTGACCTCTGACAATTCAATTGCTTTAATTAATTTAAGATGCAATGTAGCCGGTATTGGCTCAAAATGACAACTAATACAGTAGCACTGGGGGCATTAGATAGCGAAGGCCAAAGGTTGGTTCGCGAATATGACTTGACAAGGCCAGTCAAATTTCGACATGTTCGTTGACTGTCCCTGTATAGTTTCATCATGTGCTGCTGTCAGGGAGTTTGTCTCAATTTGATCAGGTCTTGTGTTTGTTCAGTGACCGGCTGCGAAGGCCTACCATCCAGGCATTTGGCCTGATGCGCTTGATCTTCCCGGAGAAATATGCTGATGTGTGTGCCTTCCTTTCAGATAGAGACCGGTCTCGTCGTGTTTCCGGCATGTTTTATTATTTCAGACGTATTCAGACGTGCTTGAGAGTTGCTCACGTCGTCATGACTGGTTGTTGTCATTGACTTAGTTTGATTTTGCTGACTTCGTCATTGACTGAGTGGCCAGATATCAAAAACGTCAACGGATGGCTGATCAAGACGTTTCGGAAGCAGGCAGATGAGTCAGGAGCCCGGAGAATGGAACACACAGTGTGAGACTTTGCCAAAGTTATGATCTGTCACCCCAACTTGGATCAGTGGAAAACTTTGAAAGTAAGGTGCAATCAGGAATTGGGCCTGCCAGTGGGGCCGGTGGATTCAAATGAGGCCGAACGTCGTGAGCTGTGTAGTCATGAATGTCAAGAAGATCTTGAGTACATTGATGTCAATGCAACAGAACAACAATATTTGATGCTTGTGCAGAAAGCTAAGGCCCATTGAACTGCAACAGCACCGGCAATGGTTGTCGTGCGTATGGTGAAAAAAGTGTTTTGCACTGACCGTCTCATCATTGGGTGTTTTCAGCATGCTTTGTTGCGATGGTGACTGCTCACTGCTTATACTCTTGGGTTTTCATGATGAGCGGGAAACAAAACTGCGAAGCTGAGGTTCGTGTGCTGGAGGATTTGCCAGCGCATCACATGCTTGATCCAGTCAGGGCCCAAAAGTCCTAGGGCTTGAATCGTGACAATTTGTCAATGACTTGCTCAGGTTTATGACCATCTTAGCCAAGCGGTTGCTGATGATGGCTCTGTGTCAGTGTCTGGTGAGTGTGGCTCTTCTTTCTCTGATGACACGATCGACTCTCCTCAGACACTATCGTCATACTGGCATGTTCTTGTTGCAAAGACTTGAGTCTTGAGTTTGATTGATGAATGACAAATCTTGGCCAAGGCCTGGATGGAGACCTGTGGTGCACGCAGACCAATTGCTGAGTGACACTGACGATGACGAGCATGTCCATTCCGGGGACTCAGATGCAGAAACACTGATGCTTCCAGGAAATGGTGAGGACGATGTGGATGAGGGCGACCCTGCTGCTCCACACCTTCATTGGTCGTGGCCACCGCTTTGGGAGATTGTGACAGAGCACCATTATCATTTCTCCCCTGCAGCATTCCATGAGGACGATGTTGGACACCAAGGCTCAACCAATGATGACGACCAGCAAGGACCTCCATCAAAGAGACAGCGAGTGTAGTTAGTCAATTTCCACTTTTCAATCTTGGGGAATGTTGCAGTGCCACAATCACAGCGTTGTGTGACGTTCCATTGCAGATTTGATCGGTTTGCTGCAGTGCATACGTATACTATGTGACAGCGCTGTGGCGATTGGCAGGTGCACGGGAAAAGTATCAGAGTGCAGCAGCAGTAGCTCACTTTTTAAGAGTTGAATTGAGGTGTCATTGTCTCGTATTTCGCACATTGTGTCACTGACCTTGTCTTGCAGATTGTGTCATTGACTTTGCAGTTACGAAGATGATTTTGAGTCATTGACTTTGTTTCAATGCCAATTGTGCTGTGTCATTGACTGACCACCCGTGGAAAGGTTTCAGCAAATGAGTGTCAAGCCACAGTGTTTGCATTCCAGCAAGTCGTGATCAGGACTTGACATTGACATTGACATTGACATGCATCAATGAGAATACCAGCATCATTTCTGTCATTTTACAATTGGACAATCAAAACTTTAAACATCATTGAGTGCTACAGTATATATTTGCAACTTTGCCATCGGCGTCAACTGCCACCGGCTTCCCAGCTCACACTGTCGTGGAACTGGCCTGTTTAATGACGCAACTGTCCAGCGTCTGCCCAGCTGCATGCAATTGAGTCAGAATTGTGCCCAAAACATGCAATGCTCTTTTGTGTCAGCTGCCATCTCGTCTCATACTTGCATTGCATGTGAGTGTCATTGGTACAACTCAAGATGATGGTTGGTCCAGGCCCACCTTGGTTGTTAAATGTTCAAACAAAAAGAGTTGAATGAATGAGCATTATTCACAAGGGGAATTTTACAACCATCTCCATGCAGTTGCCATGTCGGATGAAAAGGTTTGGAAAAGATGGTGCCGGACGTTCCACTGGCTCCGAGGCACACCAAAAAGATCCAGATGTTCATTGTGTCCCGGCTTTCAGAGCAAGGTCTGGAAGAAGAGCCAACTGATCCAACATGAGAGAAGTAAAGTGCATTCAACTTCAGCTGGGCGATGTTGCTGTCCAGATGCCGAAGCCTTTCGCCAAATGTTTGATGAGAGGAACAATGGCACCTCTCTCCGAAAATCCAAGCATGGTCTGTCCAAGTCAGTGAAGCTAATGTGGGTTTCAAATGAAGCCATCAAGGAGATTGTCAAAGCAAGGGTTCAGCGATGCCTGACGGCGAGTCTGTCGCAAGATGGGCAGGGCAGTTCTTTGGGAGTCAGAATGACTGTGGTCAGCTTTGCAAAGGGTCATGAGCTTAGAGAATCATGCGATGCTGTCTTGTGATGTCTTGGGAAATCTTGGTGACACCATTGAACATTTGAGTCCATTTCCTTGGCCATCTCTTGTTGGCACTGTTCCCCAAGGCGAGGAACGACTCATCACTACCAATTCTCCCCTGGCGTTTCTGAAGAGCGAGCTAAGTGGGTCTCACAATCTGGCAAAGGCATCTCGCAAAGCATCCCGGCGTTTCTTCACAAAGAGATTGTGTCCACCTCATGGATGGATTGGGATGAAGCCACTGCTGGAAAAGTCCTTGTTGAAAAAGTACAATGATTCAGTGGAAACTTGGTTTTGAAGTAGCTGCAGTAGTCTGTCAGTCAAGACTTAGTCTGCAGATGTTTGCACCACCTTCTGATGATCTGTGACCTCAGGAGTTTCTTGGATCTGATGCAGCTCCAGACGAATTGAAAACCTTGCGTTTAAACACGCAACTGCAATGGTTCCGAAATGCCCGAATAAGGGTGAGGGATGCAGCGCATGCTGCCGGACGGTTCCTTACTCAAATTGAACCACTTGTTCTTTTCTGGAATTTGATCTCACAGTCGTCTTGTCAATTGAAATTAATTTTCTATAATTTTCCAAATCTCAGGCTGACGCAGAAGTGGAACAAGATTCCCATGCTCAAGGAGGTTTGGTACAAATACTGCTGGTCTTCGAACAGCATTATCAGCCTCATCCACCACAGCCCTCAGAATGTGCGGATTTTCAGGAAATATGAGCCTTGGCCTCTTTGGGTTTGGTGTTCGAGCAGGAACTTGAATGAATGACAGTGAGAGAGTTTCCCTATGCCATTAAATTTTCGACTGATAAGGTGAAAGAAGATTCCAAGAGGACCTGGAAAACCCGCAACCTATGTTTCGCCAAACATCGCCACTCGAGCATGTTGAAACCAGCATCAAGGTTCGTTCTCCACACGTCTGCAATCATTCATGCAGCAATGGAGACTCTTGTCATTGCGTCAGTGACCATTTCCCATTTCAATTGATTTGTTGTAATTGACCCTGGCATTGAGTGACCAAACCTAAGCCAGATCCAAGGATCTACGCAAGGAGAACAACGCCCAAGCCCAAGAAGAATGCTGAGTCGTTTCTGCTTTCCATCAATGAGGAAGCCATACTTCAAATGGCGATGATGTGTGACGCAGCACAAGAGGAGCTTGACTTGCCACTTTGCTTGACTTACTGACTTGATACTGCTTTGACTTTCAATTTGCACAGTCAGTTTCTGATTCTCGTGTGGGAAGGTTGCTTGATCAACCCTTTGAGGATCCGGTTCTGTGACAAGAACACCGTGGACGTGTCTCAAATGCGAGCTGCAATGGATGGTTTCATGAACCGAATCAACACCTTGTTTCTCAAACAGAAAGCTCTTCAGGTTCAATCCTACACACGACATGTCTCTTGATGGCAAATAATTCTGGGAGTGATGAAAAACATTTCTCATAATATGAACCTCACATCCATGACATGTTCATGATGTCAATGACATTCACAATCTCATTGAGATTCACAGTCAATGACGTCAGTGACATCAATGACATCAATGACAATCACAGTCAATGCCCCGTCAATGACAGTCAGTCTATGAAAGTCTGGCCTTCAATCCAATTGCCTTGAAGGCTATGGTATGGCTACGAAAAGAAACTGTGATTCGAGTTGGCCAACACTTTCGATCACTGGGAGGTGATGGCACATTGCCCCCACAGGTGGTAGCTGAATGTTTCAGCCGGATGTCCCAATGGGTCTCCTTGGCGGAGGAGACCCTGAAGGCAGAATGGCCCAGCTTCGAAGCGATTCAAGCGTTCAGCGTGTTTCAATTGACACCAAGACTTGAGACGGCAGTCGTCAAGCGGGACCTGGGCAAGATATCCCAAGTCTTCCAGGAGAAGCACAATCTCCCAGCTTTGGTGAAAAGTTTTGCGGACTGTGAATACACAGCCGCGAAGAGAAGTTCCTGGCATATTAATTTGTCAATATTTGTCATTATCGTTTTCGAAATGCTTCTCATTCGATTCAAGTAATCCTCAAGTCAAGTCTAGTTGTCATTGACATGGACAGAAAAAGAGCTTGTCATTGACTGAAAATACCAACATGAAATAATCAGTTCGTTACCAGCTGCATTGATTAGACCAAGGACAGCGCATTGCTGATGATGAAGACTTCCCCGACCTCAAAGCATGGGTAAGCACTTTGCAGGGTCGACAAGCTGCTGACAATCCTGAGTTAGTGAAATGCCTGGCAAGGGCTTTGTGTCTTTCGCAAGCATCCACTTCAGCATGTGAACGTGATTTTGGAAACATCCTGGGAACCTTTCGAAAGAGGGGTGCAAACCCATTGCTGAAGGAGATGCACGTTCGCATCACATCGTTCTTGAAGATGGAGCCAGGTCAATCTTCTGAGATCATCCGTCGAGCTCAGCAAATTTGGAAGGAGGGCTTCAATTCTGAGCGCAAGAGTGGCTCACAAAGAGGTGGAAATTTTGTGTCAGGCACGGCATTGGCAAGGAAACGCCAAGTTTCTGAGATCATGTTCAGGATCAGTGTTGAACAAACTGACTGGGGTTGAATGAATGGTTTGTCATCTTTTGTCATTGTCGCCTTGACACACAACCTGTCATAGGTCAGTGACACATTGACTGGGTATCCAAGGCTGCAGATCCCAATCAAAGCCAGAGTGCTTGGGTCAAGCGGCGACGGCTGGAGGTCGACCGAGTCACATCTCTTTCCAGTGCTGGACATCAAGAACATGAGGACCCAATTCTTTGCAAGGAGGCCAAGGACGCGATCAAGAAGATTCAAAATGTAGTTGCTCAACTGAAAATTTGGCTTGTGATTGACCATTGATGATTCAAGTTGATCAAAAATCATCGCTGTGGTGATGTTTTGAATTTCATGTGGCTTTACCATGAATAATAATTATCATGTTGGCTTTTCAGGTGACCAAGCGTCGCTTTGAAGCGCAACAGATGGGCATCTTGCAGAAGCATGAGCGACTCCCTGATGCTAAGTACCAGGAACTGTTGAAGCAGGGGACTAAGCCATCGAAAACTATCATGAATTGTCAATCAAAACTATCATGAATTGTCAATGACAATGACTTGGCATTGAAATTGTTCTCATCGCTTATCAGGAAACAACAAATGCAAGATCTGACGGCAGAGACTCAGCCAACACTTGAGCAAACCAGGGCAGGAATGACATTGAGTGACAATGACATGATACTGATGATGACATGCTGGTGATGATAATTTTTATTAATGGATGACAGTTTGGCCTACTGATGATTTTCCCAAACTAATGAGTTTGTCAAGCTTAGGCCAAAAAAAGCTCCGAACTTGAGAAGGAATTTGCAGCTCGTCAATTTCCTTCTTTGAAGTCCAGGCAGAAGTCCAAACATCTTGCCACATTGACATGCATTGCCTATCTCTCAAATCAAAGTAGATGCACATTGATTGATGACATGTGGTTTTGACATTCGTCTCTGGTCAAAAGGCCGACCTTCTTGTGGACCACCAATACCGATGTCAAAAAGGATGTGGCCATGATGGGGGCTCACATCGTGGAGAGCTGGCAAGAGGCAACTTGCCACGTGGTGGACAATTTCGCTGCCCCTGGACAAAGGGTCTCCTGGGCTGCAAAGCTCAGCGGACATTTGATTGTCACGAAGGATCTGGCCCAAGGGCCTTGGATTCAGAATCTTGTATAAAATTATTATTCCCCATTCACTTCAATCCCTTGTCAGCTGTTGTCAGTCCAATTCTTTGCCTTTGCAATCGGGAAGTCGCATGCCCACAAGGTACATGCCAGCTGGCGAAATTGCAACGCAGAGAAATCTGCTGGTGCACCCTCAGTTTACCCAGCTACATCCGGGACTCTCTGAAATCCTTCGCTGCGCTATGGCAGGTGGATGGAAATTGTATGAAGCTTTTTGGCAAATGAGTGTCTACATTTGTTCCATCATCCGTTCAAGAGAACCTTAGCCCGTTTGCCAAGGAAGATGAGAAGGATTGGAGGGAACGGATGGCGAAGAGTAAGACTCGATCCAACTTCATCGCCTTAGTTCCAACCTCCATGCTCAAGTCAAAGGGATTTGAGAAACTGACAGCTTTTGATTCTAGGGGTTTTCTCAAGTGGAAAATCATGGCACGAGTAAATAGCTGGTGCCGTGCTTCATCTTGATTTGGGTCAGACATGTCAGCGATGATATGCATCGCGTCGATGAGGGGAAAATGCCAGAACTGCTGAAGTTGCCCCTGGGGTTGTATAGGACTCTGCAAAAACAACAGAATGTGTCTTTGGATTGGTTGTGACTACGATTGAGCCAGGCCTGGTTTTGCTGTTTGACAGTTTGGCCAGGACCACAGATCTTTGTTTCGACAATTTGCTTTTTAAACTGCACCTGAAATCATGTCAGTGAAATTGACAAATTGTCAATGTTTTTCAATGTCAATCTCCCTTTCTGAAAAATTGTAATGAGGTTGCCACCAGTGGTCGTCTTTCTGTTCGTGGCTGTGTGCGACTGCCTGCGAGGTGGTTCTGGCTTGTATTGCCTCAACCACTCTCTTGCTTTCAACCATTCGACTCCTGTCACTTGCATCGAGCCATTTTCTCACAACTTGAATCAGATGCGCAACCTCAGTTTTGCATTCAAGACGACGTTGCGCCCTGGAAGATCTGATTTCCCTTGTCCACTTGCTACCATGGAGATTTCCGTTGAGGGTGGTGCTGCTGGCAAGACAGTGTCCATCAAGGCGGCAGACTTAAGTTTGCAAGTCATTGACACTTTGGTAGGTCACCGTCATTGACATTATTGTATTATCGGTCATTGACTCAAGGTTGTTTTCATTGTGTCATTGACTCACCACTACCCATCAAAGGTTGATCCGGTCCATATCTCGCTTCCCTATGCAGCAGGATCTGGTGGCAAGGTGGCTTGGTGATTCCCTTTCCTTGTCATTGGACATTGCCAGTTAAATCAGAATCAATCTCATCAGAATCAAGTCTCCTGATGTCTGCCCTGTTCCAAGGCAGAGTCCAAGGCAGAAGTTTCAAAGCCGATGAAGGGTTCGCCTGGGAATAGCACGAAATCCAAAACACCCAAGCCAGAGTCCAAAAACACTGTGAAGAAGCCGGCTGGGAAGCCAGAGTCCAAAAACACTGTGAAGAAGCCGGCTGGGAAGCCAGAGCCCAAAGGCACTGTGAAGAAGCCGGCTGGGAAACGCAATGGTGAAAAGTAGATTTGGGACTGTGACACAGTGACTTCCAGTCCGCTTTCATATTTTTTTGATTCGGGACCTAGCGCCGTGAGCCTGCCTGGAAAAAGGGAATCAAATTGCTTAATTTGGTGTTTTGCTTTTCTGCTTGGACCTGATAGTTCCTGTGTCATTGACATTGAATTGACTTTGCTCAACTTCCACAGTGGTGATATGTGGTGATCTGATGATATGGTTGTTCACATGCTCACACGGTGGGGAAGCCAGGCGGGAATCCATCCATCCGAGTCTTGCCAGGAGCCTATCATTGCAGTTGCTTCAGCACTTAATCAATCAATCAGGACATTAGATTTGGATGCTGCAATTCAAAAGTTCAACAACTTGAGACTCTACTACTCGAGATTGAAAAAGCCAAGGCCACAACAATAGTAAAGCCAGAAGAAGGACCAGACCATCAATAGAGCCAGGCTCTCAGTCTTGAAATGCTTCTGCGAGTCCGCGCCACCGCCGACTTGCAGAGGGATGGGGGGGCTCTGCGAGTCCGCGGCACCGCCGACTTGCAGAAGGTTTCAATCCAACGGTAATTCTAATAAGTCTGGAATCTTCAACGGTAACAGCATTTGGCCTCGTAAAAAAGAATGTCTTAAACAACATGCCTGATTTTGTTCCACTTGCTGGTGGGGAGGGGTCAGCAACCCTACTCTGCTGCGGCTCGGCGGTAGCGCCGAGTTGCAGGGGACATGTTTCGATACATTTTTTAACTTGCAGGTGCAATGTGTCCCAACCCCCCCTCATGTGCAAGTTAAAACTACATCCGAAACCCTACCCCAACGAGTCGGCGGTAGCGCCGAGCTGCAGGGGGGATGGGTTGCCTACCCCCCTGCGCCTGCAAGTCAAAAACACTATTTTTTTGCATAACTTCACTGGGGTGTTGTTTAACTAATTCCTTCAAAAGATGCATCAACGGTAACTTGCTTCCTCTTGCTGACTTGAACGGTACCTGAGGTCACTTGTGGTCCACTGTGTCTTCCCGGACGCTAAGCTGCACCAAGTTGCATTTGGATGGATGCGACATAAATGGAACCGGTACAGTTTGTCAAATCATTTCATCATTTGCAGTGTCTGTGTATTTTTGGAGTTGAAGTCATTGACTGTCTTTGACGTTCACCTTGAGCAATGGTCAGTTGATGGATTGATGGCATGTTCATTGCTCAAGTTATGCTCACGTTGTCATTGACGGTCATTGTCCCACTGAAGTCACTGACTGGCTCAAACTTGGGGACTTCGATTGCCTTTGATTCATCATACCATGGCTTCAGGAAGGCTTCCAGGTGACTTTTGGCCACGGTCTGCAGCATGGACAGGACCAGGGGCGGCCTCTAGCAGTGAATGCGAAGGTGCATTTACTCATCAAGAGTCAGAGGAGGAAGCCAAAGTGGACTCAGGAGAGGACAACAATGATGACAATGATGGTGATGGATTGGATCATGTGGTGGCCGAAATGAAGAGACCTGCTGCTCGAAAAAAACATGTCCCAACTTCCATGAAGAGGATCAAGCGACCTGCTGCTCGGAAAGCTGGTGGTGATAGCCCTGAGGCTGTTGCAAAAAAGAGGGCCAAACGGAATGCAAAGGACACCGGGAAGACTGAGGATGATGATCCTGGCCTTGGTGAACAGCCAGTGATGAAGAAGCCATCTGCTTCCAGTGCAGCTTCAAAGACCAAACCTTGCCAGCCTCGCCAGCCTCGTCGTGTTGCACCCAAAGGTGTTGTACCGAGAGATGGGTTCAAGGGGTGCAGCAGGTGCAGGTTCCGTGGATGCAAATCGTGTCGGATTGAACTTCCAGGGGATGCTGAGGAGAATGCCGAGCGAAGTGACATGAAGAACGAGCGAAGTGATGATGCTTGAAGAGGGTTTGATCAAGAACCTGAAGGACATTTGACTGAGCCGTTCTCCATCCAACAAAGTGAGTAAGGACCTCCAATATGTCATTGACCTGCCAGTCAATGACAGTTTTGCTTTGGCCAAGATTGGCCAGTTTTTTCACGCTGCGATGCCTCCGATCAGTCAAAGACACGTCAAAAGTTAAAGGATTCCTGACATGGTCATGTTCAGCTGAACTTACTATTTGGAGTCATTGTCCAAACTATCAAGATTTGAACACCTCCAGCATTGATCAACTGTCAGAGTATTCTTGAAATTGTGCCCTGCAGTTACCAAGGATGCCACTCAGCCAAAGGCTACTGAGCATTGGCAGCGATTGCTCTGGAGTTGGCACAGATGCTGTGGCAACTGCAAGATTGGCTGACCAATTGGGCTTTCAATTTGTGAACAGTTTTGCAAGTGATACTGATCGGCATTGTCGAAAGGTCTTGGAATGTTTCTTGGCATTCAACGTTTCATTTCACTTTGGTCTCAGAATTCAATGATGTCAATTTAAGTGTCTTTGTCTTGTGCTGAGGGACCATGGTGTTGCTGTCAATGACGGGTTGGGCCAAGGTCAGACTCACCCACCACAACTGCTGCTTGAAGATGCGGCTGCCAATGAGCAAAAGCCACACGTTGATTTGTACACCTGCGGCTTCCCATGCCAACCATATAGTTTCTTGTTGCTATTACAGCCAAACCGCAATCCATGGCAGTGTTGTTGATTTTGATGGAATGACAATTGTTTTGTCATTGACGTGCGAAATCTTGCCAAGAGGTGCTTGTGGAAGACATGGAGGCGGGCAAGATCCCAGAGCCGCAGTCCTGAAAGATATCCTTGGTTACATATCATCACGGCAGCCAAAGACGTTTGTCCTGGAAAATGTTCCGGGAATCAAAAGCAAGAAGCACAGAACCTCAGATGGTTTGTGCAGTGTTGAATTGAGTTGTCAATCCTGAGTTGTGTATGTGAGCGCCTGCTTTGTTATGGACGTGCAGCTGAGGAAAACACTTCCGTGCTTTGGTCCAACAACTTCTCGGCATCAGGAACGACAAGAACCAACGTGCTTATCATGTTACCTGGAAGGTGTTGCTTGCGTGCTTGCTTGCTTTCAATTTCCCATTTGATGATTCGTGATGATGATGTATGTTTGCATTATTGATGACGATTCTGCATGTTAGTTTCTTTGCAAACATGCAGGTGGTAGACAGCCGGAGATTCGGCCTCCCTCAAAGGAGGAGACGGCTCTATATCCTTGGTTCTCCAAGATCACGCAGGCCGCCTTGCATGCGAAGCAAGACGAAGAAGATGAAAAATCTGGGCGCTTTTCTCAGTGACCGCAGGAGAGAGAAATGGCCCAGTTACTCGTCTAATGTCTTGGCACTGAAGAGTTGGTGTCAATGTCAAGAATGTCAATGTCAAATTATGTCAATCAGCATTTTTATGAAGAGTTGAAAGGTTGATTGAACATGAACATTTTTCAATCTTTTGATTATTGGATGAATGTGAATGCTAAGGTAGCAAAACTGCCCAGCGTAATCTGAAGATGGGATACAGAACCTTGAGGAGAGCTGGAGTGGACCCAAACGAAAGCGATTCAGTCATTGACCTGGGTGCGGGCAAGAAATTCGCACTGGTGACAACCGATTTGGTTGGTACTTTGACCAAGAGTCGTTGTGCCCAGAGGGCCCTCTGGCTCACGAAGGCCCTTGTCTAGATTTTGGGACAATTTGATGAGACTCACTTAACAATGGGGGCATGTTGGAAATTTGACACATAGACGCATAATGCACTTTGTGTCATTGTTGGCCATCCGTTTGCCTTTGCATTGCATTTGCCAGGCACATCGAAGGCTCACGCCAGCAGAGATGGCCAGGTTGCAAGGGTTCGAAAAGGGCGATTTGCCTTGGAAGAAGGCCTTGACCCCCACTACGGCCAGGGGTGGGCAAGTGGGTAACAGTATGGCTGTGCCGGTTTTGCAAGAGGCGATCCGGTCTGTTCTTGAAGCAGCCAAACTTGTTTAAAATGGATTTGCATTCGAAAAAAATGATTTTTATTCAAATAATTCAGATGAGGGCCTCGGACAAGTCTTAAGTTGGTCTGGCAAATCCGTTGAACTGCTTTAAATTTAGGCTGTGCATGGCAAGGCCAAGCAATATTGTTTTGGAGCCTGAAGCCCATGTAGTACAACTAACCTTTGTCTGGGAAGGGTCAAATCTGATTGGGTGATGCTGACGATGATCTGTCACTGTCAGTCACTGACGAAATTTAGATGCCCGTAGTTCTCACTGCGGTTGGATCAACTTGGGACGAAAAGGTCAAGGATCTTGCCCCGTCACACTGGCTGTTTCACTAACTCGAGTCAGATGTTTTATAGGTGTTCGTCGTCATGTCAATGACGTGTTCATTCAAATTTGCATTTGACATGTCACGCATTACATCATCACCTTTGTCACTGTCGAATGTTGTGCTCATTTTTTTAGGCCAGGGCCTGCCACGACGGTCAGTCATTTTGTCAAAGACTGACGCTGGCTGTCATTGACGTTTTTGCGTAGTTGCCACCATGGCACCTTCGAAGCGACCTCGAAACAATGCTGCTGTTGTGCCGGCTCTTGGCGCAGGCTTTTTGCTGCGGGTCAATGACTGCATGGTTTGGTCATTCATTGGATGTCAACTTTTGTCAAAAGTCATTGACAGCGAATTGTCATTGACAGTATCAAATAAGACCACTGACATCATTTACTGCAGTGGGAGGTTGGGCATTGGTAGGGTTGGTCATTGACATGTTGAACATGTGCGTTGATTGCAACAGTCATGAGTAAGGTGACGAAATAAATGAATCTTAAATGGCTGTCCGTTAAGATATTCTTTTTAATCTTTGATGTTTGGTTGATGTATGGGGATCAAAAACTCAAGATTGGATGACAATGAATATAATCAATCCATCATGATGGCAGCGACAGTGTCAATGACAATGATGAGCAAACCTTGATCACCTGATAGGTGAGCCGGGTGAAGTGCAGACGAAAGCACTCAATGTCGACATCATGGCCAAGGTGAAAGAGGCCTGGAATGGTCTGATGTCGAAACTTGGCTGGTTAGAAGTTTGAGTGGAGGTCTTTCCTTTCTTTCAAACTGCACTGACTATCATCATGATTATTCAGCACGACTGCCTTTTTCTCACCGTCAGCCTTGTTATCACCTCCATCGTGGTCATCATCGTCATTAGAGTGAGTTCCACATAGATGACATTCAGCTGCCAGATTCCAATAGTTTGGTATTTGTGTTTCTGGTCAGTCAATCTTGCTAAGGCAAGACGATTTCCATAGCATTCAGAAAGAAAGCCCTCTTCAAGCGGGAAAAGGAGGATGCTTGCATGCTACTGATTTCAAATTGATCAAAGTTCAGAACCTTGGGCACAAGTACACCGCTGGAGGAAACGCTGCGTGGGCGAACCCGTTCTGGTCGCCATGCAGTGTTCCTCTCATCAATTCTGCAATTAGCAGTTTGATCAACGGACGGTGGAGGAAGCCTGCTTCGATCGAAATCACCATCGCAGTTTGCAGCCACTCCGACCCCACCAAAGACCAGACCCGCTTCAAGTCGCAGCTCAAGCGCATCAGTCCAGAAGAAGAACATGTGGCTTTCATACTTTCTACGTGGCGTGACGTCAGCAAGGGTGAGTACATTGAGGACACCCAATTTTCAATCAATGTTTGCTGAAAAATGGATTGCAAATTTAAATTGTCAATTCGTGACACCGACCAGGTTCAAATTTGGATTTGCCTGACAGAATGAAACTGATTGAGTAGGAGTGGAAAGCATGTTGGCTCTCTGCATCCTTCACTTGGCTCACAGTGGCTGACGATGCCGAGAGCTGTTTCTGGGAGGCTGCGAAGATCAGAGAGAAGATTGGCGAGTCTTATGAGACCTTGTACTATACACCTGTCACATGACTGCCACTGAGTTAAGACCTGAAAAAATATGAAATTATTGATTGAGTTTGGGCGACCTTTGAACTTAGCCTTCACTTGTTTTTTGCCTCTGGCAATGCAAGGTTCAGCGCATCTTTCAGATCGGTGCCGTGAAGAAGCTCTTGCAAGACAAAGGTGGAGAGCAAGCTGTCAGTGTCAAGGTGCTCAAGCGCCACTTCGATCAGAACTTGGAAATCAAGAGCGGAGAGGCTGCGACCGAGCACATGATTCAAACTGCCATTGCATTGTGGAATTCCCTTTTTTCGGTCCCAAGACTCAAAGTGGCCTGGCCCAACTCGATGTGTGTGTGTGTGTCAACTTTGCTATGTAGTTTTCATTTAAATTTATTGTCATTTTGTTCCAAATGATTGAATTATGTCATTGAGTGACAGTGCCATTGTTGTGATCAAGCCTGTGTATGAACCATGGATATAGGACTGACTGACCAGCGTTGCTGGCTGAAGTTTTGCTCAGGAGCTGGCATTTCTCATGGACGAAACTTTCGGGAAGATGAGCCCCTTGGACACAGTCGCAAAGCTTGAGAGCATCATGCGGTCATGCCGCTCCAACAACGACCATTTGGAATGGTGCCTGATCCAAATGGCCGATCTTTGCTTGAACAGAAAGGTTTCACCGCAAGAGATGCAGCCAACTTACCTTTTTGGTGCGAAAGGTCAGCCGAAAGGGAAACTTGACACAAATGGCATGGCTGATAAGTCGTCTCAGTCAGTGCAATGACTTGGAACTGTGCTCACTGATTTCTATGACATGCTGGTTAGTAGCACCATTGAAACCCACTCTAAGGATGATTCATGTCTGGCTGTGGAAGCTTCAGTCAAAGCCGAAACTGCTTGCTTTGCTGGACCAGCACCTGCCACCAGAGGATGCAGTGCAGATCAGGAGTGTGTGAGTCATTGACTATCCCTTGAACTTTTTACCAAAGAATTTGCCACTTCAAGTTCAAAACTCGCCATCATTGAAAATTGACTGACTGTATCTGAACTTGTTGTCATTGATTGTGATTAAACTTATCGTCGTCATTGACCCTTTTGAGACTTTGTTGTTGTCACTATTTTTGAACTCGTCATCGCCGTCATAGACAGTTCTTGAACTCCTGATTGTTTTGGAGGAAGAGCCTTCAGAATCACGAATCCTTCAGAGTGCACTATGGGGGACGACCTTTCACAGCTGAAGCAATCAAGGAGAATCTCAAGGTTCCTGATGGCCAGCAGTGGATCGCATGTTTCTTAGCAGTCAATGACGGTTTGTTTTTGCACTTTGTGCCACTCAGTGTCAATGACATTTGTTCCACTCGGTCTGTCAATGACAGTTTATGTTGAAGATAGCTTCATTCCCAGTATATATTGATGATAGCTGTCAATGACTAAGTTGATGGTAGTTTCATTTTTGTCAATGACAGTCAGTTTATGTTTATGATATTGTTGTTCCATCCAGTGTCACTGACAGTTTATGTTGGTATAGCTTTGTTCCACTCAGTGTCAATGACATTTTTTGATGTTGATGATTGATAGCTTTGTCCCACTCAGCGTCAATGACATCTTTTCGTGTTGGTGGTAGACTTGTTCCATTCAGTGTGTCAATGTGAGTTTGTGTTGATGATGATAACTTTGTCAATGACAGTTTATGTTGATGATATTTAACTCTGTTCCGCTCAGTGTCAATGCCATTTGTTTTTGATGTTGACAGCTTTGTTTCACTCAGTGTCAATGATGTCTTTTGGTGTTGGTGATAGCTATGCCCCCCTCAGTAAATGGTTTTATGCTGATGACAGCTTTTTCTTACACATTAACAGCATCAATGACAGTTTGTGTTGATGATGGCTGCGTCCCACTCAGTGTCCATGGCATTTGTGTCCATGGATTTGCTCCACTCAGTATCGACATTTTATGTCGGATGACGCCCTTGAGGTATGGACCCCAGAAGCCAGAAAGCCGCAGAGTTCGGCTCACAGTTTCTCTACGGGCTTGTTTTTGACCATGCGATCAAACAGGCAGTGAGACACCAACAGCCTCTTGATGAGGTTCTTGAACGATCAGACATCGAGAAAATCTGGAAGCAAATTTTGAGTCCTGCAAGTGTGGCAGCTGACGATCATGATGCAGAGGATATCGGCATGGCCAAGTCTGCAGCTCTTGTTAGCTTGCTCCCCAGCGAGAACATCGAGAAGCTGAACAAGCCGGAAAATGCTGGCAAGTTGGAAACCATCGAGAACGCAGTGGAATCAGCTCGCAAGCAAGTGAAATCCCAGTGCCTCACCATCGATGGTTCTATGAGCCTTGAGAAATTGGCAAAGATGATGAGAGAGATGCGAGTGTGCAAACTGCGTGGATCGCATGACAGTAGCATCCTGGTCTTGTATGTCTTGGAGGCTGCAGGTGAACATGAACGGGATTCGAGGCGCTCACCGACACCGGTGAGGCGTGACTTCATGGAAAAAGTCATGAAAGCCATTTGGTCGACTCGAGCCTCGGAGCTTCCTGACTTTGACGAGGACAACGTCGTCTTTCCAGCCCTGGATCCCAGTGATGTGTGACGTGATAGCATTTTGGTCAACTCTCCCCTGACTGATGACACTTGATCTCTTCTTCCCTGTTTGAGGGTGTCATTGACTGTGAGTGAGTTGGTGTTTCATTGCCATTGTTTCATTTGTATCCATGTCACCGACAGGAAACTGTAGGACTTGACCAATTCGTCACTTCAACTGCATTGCTTTCTAATAAGTTGTGTGGGTCGTTTGAACCATTGGCAGCAGCACTTGCTTCAATTTCCAGGCCTGTTGTTGCAAGCGATCAGGTGATTCTGTTTTTTGACAGTTTGACAGGCATGTACAATGCATCTCTCACAATCGTTTTGAATCATTTGTCATTGACGATAGTTGAGTCAAGTCATGTAAGTTTTGGTCATTGACAAACTACTGCAAGCCACATTAAATCATTGTTCCAGATGTTAAAGCAATTATAGCATTGCAATTGCATGTCCCATTGGCTGTCCAATGCTTTCTATTAATCAGTTTTGTCATGACTGCATGTCCCACTTTATTATTGCTTTGGCTGCGACTAAGTACATGGGTTTCAAGAATGTCTATGGCTGGTTGTCCCATTGCAATGTTGACACTTCAGGTTCCTGTACTTCGATGGTGGCAGAGCTGGGACCCAGCCGGGGTTCACTCAGCTTTTCAAGTCCTTGGAGGGAGGGCCTTACAACAAGCACCAGTTCCATGTGAACTACAACGAAGATTCCGTGAAAGAACACCGAAAGGACCGCTCTCACAATTCAATTCATTTCTGGTTGGTTTGTGCTTCAACCACACCCTTGGTTTTGATTCAACTCTGCCAATGTGCAGGCCCGATCCTTATCCGGGGGAACACTGGATCGCGGCGTGCCTCGCCTGATGTTGGCCCTGTCAACGTTTAAGTTGATTGATTGATGGATGATGCAATCATCATGAGACCTTCGTTTTGACTGAGACCTGTCACTGACTGACCGCATGTTAAAATTCAAAGTCACTTGCACTTGAGATGTTTCTGATTTGTCGCGACTGAGGTCTTCAACCTTTCCCAAATGGAAACAATTGTGGTGATTCCCGGATGCAGCTCCCGACTGGCATCTGTCGTTGGGTCTCGTCGAAACCTTCACTTTACTGGCTCCACCAGTGGAAACTCACTCCAAGAAGTTTTCAAAAATGATTTGAAGAGCGTGCCGACGCTGCCCACAACGGACAAACATGCCATGATGCAGGGCGCTCGACTGAAAGATGATGTGCGAGCCACCACTGCAGCCAAAGGTTTCTTGTTGGCAAATTTGTCAATGACTGAATGGGCTTTACTTGCAAATGACTGATGGACTTTACTTGTCAATGACTGATTGACTCTACTTGTCAATGACTTGGTGACTGTATTTGTCAATGACTGCTGATTCACTGACTGCTGATTAACGAACAGTGAGTTTGTTTCACGAGCCAATCCAGTGTGAGCCAAGGACTCGATCAGCCAGGGATCGAGCCGATGGACTGGTCTGCTTTAGACCATCGCCTTGTCGAAGAGCTGTTGCATAGATTCCGGCCGAAGGCTGTCATTCTAGCAACGGCCGGGTGCCCGAGCATCATGCAGCCGATTCTTGAGCTGCAGATCCCTTGCCTGGCCGTTTGTCACTTGGTTGGTCTAACAATTTTGTGCAGCGGTCAATGGCAACGATAATTCCCTTCTTCACAGTTGAGACTGACTGGCTTCGAGTCACTGACTTTGAATCCTTTGTTCATTACAACTGACTGGCTCTTGATTTGAGGTTACTCAGCGCAACATGAAAAGTGGTTCCAGGAGAACACCAACAAGATCTTGTTCCGCCAAATGTGTTTGGCGAAGAGCCGTCATTTTCAGCCAGAAGTGGCGAAAGCTCTGAAAGACACTGGCAAGGTCGATGTCGATGCGCAGGAGACCAACAAGAAGCAGTCGAAGCATGGCAATCGAAGCAAGAGCAAGGGTGCAAAGCCGAAGCGTCGCAGCAAGAGTGGCAAGGGCCGCGGGCGAGGACGTGGTGGAAAGGGCAAAAAGCGCAAGGGCAGTGAGCTTGACGATGACGATTTGGATGAGGACGACCTCGACGGAGAGGATGATTTGCAGGAGGATGGCGAAGAAGATCAGGACCGACTGCTTTTTGCCAATGGCAAGCCAATCAGTCATCATTTGCATGGCATTAAATTTTGATGAGCTAGTTTCTTGGCCGAAAGCTGGAGGATGATGCTCTTGAAATTGATGAAGACGCAGAAGAAGAAGACTCCATCTGAGTCTGACAGCCACCAGGCAAGGGTTGTCATCATAATCTGAAAGAAAATGATGGGTTGCAGTCAGATACAGATTAAGCTTATTTTGTTTCATCGTCAATGACACAGACTTTTTCACATTGACATTTTGAATTCGCTGTCACTGACTTAGATTTTTTCACATGTCAATTCGCTGTCACCCTTTCACATCAGATGTTTTGAATGCACTGTCAACGACTGACGATTCACATATTTATAAAAATCAACATTATGATAAGTTGAATTCACTGTCAATGACTGTGGCTGATTCGCATTTGTTTGATCCAAAATTGTTTTGTATTCACTGTCAAAGACTGAAACTGTTTCGCGGAATGAGGATTGGACCTGCTGCGTTTTGGGTCTTGCTTGGGCCCTGGTTTGCTTGCTTCTCTCAGCAACTGTCTAAGGCATTGTAACATCTGATTCTTTCCTGTTAGTGAACTGCTGACTGATGGCATGGTTGTGATGATGATGATGATGATGATGGTGATTGCCGTTTTCAATCAGTTTTCAATCAGGATCAATGATTGGAATGGTAGTTGGTGCCAATTATTGCATCAGTCCTGCCTTGGCCCTCATCGTGCTGAGGAATTTTGAATGGAATGTGGGATTGGGCAACCAACTTCTCAGTTGTCAGCCTGAGCCTCATCAGTTTATAGCTGAATACAATCTGCAGAATCAATGACACTTGTTGTGGAATGTTGCAGACAAGTCGACTCACATGCATAGTCTGTATCATAACTAATTCTCACCTGGCACTGTCAAAGTGTTTGGTTGACACAAAAGCCACCCACGATGTGAAAGCCGTTTTGGCTTCCCAGCTTTCCAGCCAGGTGACTCTGAGTTTGATGGATCGAATTTTGAAATCATGTTCAACTTGTCATTGACATTCCATTGGCAAACAGAAGACGATGACTGAACGAGAAACACACTGCAATTGACCTTCACTGCAATTGACATTGACTGCATCTGGCTCCCCACTGATTCCTTTGCTGCCCCATGTCCAGCAGCATGATGTTCTTCCAGCAGATCAATGGTCGCAACCAGCATCAAGCCTTTGGCGATGAGCTATTCCAACAAAGGGCTCGCCGAAGGTGACTTGGCCGCAATGTTTTCAGATTTGCCGAATTCTGAATAATGTTTGCTGAAAGCTTCAGACTGAATGCCTTGATTGATTCTTGCCTTTGTCACCTTTTTTCAGCAACATCGACCTAGGATGATGGATGATGTGCTGTCAGTGTCATCATCGCGGTCAAGCGATGAGGACTGGGAAGACTTGCTTTTGGAGCGTCAGAGGAAGAGACAGAAGTGTGACGACACTGATCGGACCACATGGCCAAAGGTTCCGGAGCCAGAGTTTCCACCGTCTTGGAAGTTGAATCCAGAGACACCAATGACACCAATGTTTGTGGCACCAGGGAAGACACCACTAACACCAATGTTTGTGGAACCAAGCCAGGCTCCAGGCAAGCCAAGGCTGGTGTTGAAGCCATCCAAGTCCGTCAAACAGCCGCCATCAGTCACCGTTGAAATTGCCAATGTCTCTCCTTTGTGTGCCATCAAAGTCACCGGGCACATCAAATGGGAAGGAATGCCTGGTAGCTTCTCTATGTTGGTGCCCGGCATGCAAGTGATTGAAGTGAAGGAGAAAGGGGCCCCAAGTGGAATCTACGCCTGATTGGCTTGATTGTCGTGGAAAGCTACTTTTGCAACTTGCATCTGGGACGCGAAAGTCGTTCCCTCGAATAATAGTCGTCTAGCGGAGCCATTTTTGAACGCGAACGACGTTCCGAAATTCCGCTTTTAAATTAGCACCAATTTGGAGTATGTCATGATGACATCGTCAGGATCTGATGAAAAAGTGCTGGGCTGCGTGCTGCGCTGTTGACAATGACAATCTTGTTGGCATGGTCAACATGTGTATTAAGCATTCACTGCCTTTTAAACATCACTGACTTGTCTATCCCCCTGAGGTCTTTCTGCTTCCCCGCTTGGAGTAGCCGTCGAAGCGAAGAAAAAGGGGAGTGTCTTCGGAAAGCTGTTGGGTGACTGTCAATGACATCCTAGGGAAATGAATTCCTGGTGACATTCTTGAGAACTAAAGTCTAGTCAGTGAATTATTGCAACAATCGGTCACTAACATACTTGAGCAAGTCCAGTCATTGACACACGTGCCATGGTCAAAAATTATCATTGGGTTAGTTGCCAAAGGGGATAGTCATCTAACCAGTCATCAATGTGTTGGTTGGGGTTTGGAATGTCGGATCAGAATCCATTAATTAAATTTCAATATTTTTGACCATGGCACAAATTTGATTTTCAGGTCATTGACTTTCTTCAGTTTCGCAGTCATTGACTCCATCAAATCACTCACACATGGCTAAAAGCTCACTGAACGTCGGTTGGAATAAATCAAATTATGGCAAGACTTAGGCAAAACTTCCCCAAATAAATTTAAATCATAGTTGGGTTAATACACAACCATTCATCTAATCATGTCAATGACTACCAGTAAATTGTAGTTATCCTGGCAGTTAGTTACGATGGATGATGTTGATGATGAGGATGAAGATGGGGAACAATGTGATATACAGGAGTCCTTATTATAGATGATGATTATATTCTTTGTCATCCAATCTTGAGTTTATGATCCCTATACATCAACCAAACATCGAAAGAATAAAAAGAATATCTTAACGGACAGCCAGTTGAAGCAAACCCAAAAGAAATCTCAAACCAACCCTAAATAGACCTTAAACCAACTTTAGCCAGCCCTAAATAAACCCCAAACCAACCCTAAATGAATCTTAACCCAACATTAAAATTACACCAAATGAAATTATTTCCACCCAACACGCTTGTGCCTCAACCTGCATTCCGCAAGTTCACAAGGTGCATGTTGTGCATTGTATTCACCCTGCCTGCCATAGTCAACCTACTGCATGACATGTGAGAAAAGGTATTGTCATTCTGATTTGGGGTAGGCGCTGCGCCCTTCCCCTCAATCCGTCCTTCCGTTTTTTCAACTTTTAAATCCAAGTTTGCGCCGCACCAGCAATGGAAACAACAACAGCCGGAAAAATCAAAACAACCAACAACCAACAACTAACAACCCGCAACCACGACCACAGCTACAATAGCAACAAAACAACAAACAACCAACAACAAACAGCCAATATCCAACAAGCAACAGGCAACAGCCAAAACCACAACAAGAACAACAACATCAACAGCAACAACAACATTAATTTCCTTTCAGGTTGGTAACCTCTAGCTACTAAGTGCTGCAAATATCATGCAATATTAAGTCAGTTAGTTTCCTAATTTTGCAAATGCCACACAAATTAGCGAAAACCTCACGTTTTTTTAGCAACATCCAGCTCCAAAATCGTGCGCTTTCCTTTCAGGCTAGTAGCCTCTAGCCACTAAGTGCCGCAAATATGCAAAAGTAAATGCCTTAGCTTCCCAATGTTTCAAATACCACACAAAATGAGAATACCACGGTAATTTGGCGAGTGAAGTTTTAGCTCCGAAATCGTGAAAATACCATGCAAAATGCAAGGTTATTAGTTTCCACAGGCTGCACATGCAAGGCAAACAGGAATCCGAAAAAAAAAGTGACTTAAAGAAATCCCCAAACAATTTTCCATACATCTATTAATATCTATTAAGTAGATATACTATGAAGAACAATATTGTTTTTTTCATGTCTTCTTGCAATGCGGAATTATGTTTTTTGTTCCTGCAAATTCGATGCAAATCTGCAGGTATATCGTTGTTTGCAGCGCAGCGCCGCTTCGCCAATGGTCGCCGCATGGCTGGAAGATGTTGCAAATGGAAAAACATCCTCTTTTAATGTCGGATTATAAATAGGCGGCTACAACCATCGGTTACATTCTGCAAACAAGAACTTGCTTAACCGTCAAATTTTGGGCTGCCCAACTTTTTAGACAGACCCCTTGGAGTATGAAAAGGTGATAAAACCCATCATCATGGGCATCTCATGGAATATATTACAGGGATACTACAGTTACTGAAGGATTTTGTCCAACAATATGAGTTGGTATGGACTACGCGATCTTGGGGGGTTGCATTTGGAGAATGTAGGAACCTCTCTGAAGTTTCATGTGGGAAACAAAAACATGGATCGAAATACCCGCTTTGGAAATTGCGGTTTCTTGCAGGGGTAATTTGTAGCGTGCAAATATAGTCAGTGCTTTGATATGTTGATAAAATGCAATGAGTGCATGCTACTCCTTACACTTCATTGCTTTTATGTCCAGTCCGTGTTTTTGTCTCCAAACGGACTCCAGCTGGGTCCAATAACATGTGTATTGCTGCAACTTGTGACAGTTCCTCCTTCAAAAACGAACTGGTTCTGGCTTTGGAAGATGTAGAGCTACGACGGTCCAACCATGTCCAACGTGTTGGAACACACACACGTTTCATCACAACACCGCCCATATTGTATTTTTGCATGATAACAAAAAAAACATGGACAGATTCGGGTCAGGTTCAGTTTCTTGGGTGGTAATAGAATTGCAGTTGCTCTATATATGCTATGATGTGCTCTTGGATCCCGAGCCAGATCCTTCTGAAACCGTTCGTGTTTATCTTTTGGTGACCTTTTTTCACCGGAGTCATGCGCTGGAAACCCAAGACTCCAATCAATATCATGCTTGGACCCTGAAAAAGTGAAGATTGAATGTCTAGAAGAATCATTGAAGAGTAGCTGGAGGTCAGCTGGCTTACGTGCCGGTAACCTAGCACAGCTATGGAAAATCGCCGTTCTTTTCCTCGGTAAGTCAACCATATTCGTTGCCACACCCAAGCTATTTCGAATCACCATATATTGTGAATAGCATAGAATAGCCACTTATAGGTCCAGCCATCATGTTTGAGCAA